GTTATGAGTGTCCACGGGCGGTAGCAGCTCTCCCTTGTGAGCTAAATTTGGTGTTAAAGCCGTAATCTGTATTCCCGCCAGTCCACTTTGATGTCCAGCACGCGTTTTATCTTATCACATACATTCATTTCTTTCTACCCTCTGTGGCAGTAACAATTAATTCTTTGACAACGCCATTACACCTCAAATGTGGTTTCATCTTGTGCGTCCGCCGATTTGCTATGCCCCACTCTCCGTGAGCGCGTCAGTCCGCCGGAGCGTGTATCAGAATTCACACGTACACGGGAGAGTGGAAAAGCAGAGCCAATTGCATGCTGGGAATATTTTCACTGCGCATAATTCGTTTGAAGATAATTTATCTTTTGCTTTCAAGGTGTGAAAAATAGGATTGTTTTCCTTTCCTGGTGCTGGGGCAAATTTATAATTAAATTTGAAGAAGGCGCATCCATGACACACTGTCACAATGAGTGAAAGCGCACGAGAGGCTCTCACACCGTGTTATATGAGTGAGCTTTAACCGAAAGGTCGTCCCGTTAAGAAAAGACACTGTTTTCTTTTAATACACTTACATTTGATGAGAAAAGAATACTTAATTAAACAATATTTACAGTCTTCTTTTTTATCAGATCTCTCCACTCAGGGCCGCAGTAGCTCAGCTGGTACAGTGCTCCTTCTCTGCTGTGAAGGTTGGTAGTTTGAATCCCGCTGTTGACATAAACAGCATTGGTTGAGCGGTCAGATGCACTCGCCCACAGGTTCGCGGTGTGAGTCCAGCTCCCACAGATGAATACTGTAGTTGGGTCCTTGATGTAAAGCATGTGCCTTGGTGATCGAAAATCATCACCATTTTGACCCTTTCTGGTACATCAACCCATATGCAGCTGCAGCTCGAAACGTCCTCAATGGAATATTAATTTGGTTTTAGGTTTATATATATCCCAATTGCTTTCATGTCTCACAGGAAGGATCTCCTGACCAAAATCTCAAGAAATGGAGAAGCCTCCAATGTACAATACCCTGCAGTTTTCCAACTGCTCCTGATATTTTAAAGTTGCACTGCAAATCAGAATGTTACACAGTATGGCATTAAATTATCTCCATGAAAACCAGCAGGTGGACAGATAGCCAGTGACAGGTCAGATCTGTGAAAAGGTAAGCCCGCTGATAGTAAGAAAAGTGTGTTCAACTTCTTTTTGAGCAGTAGTATAAACACCGTCACGCTTAAAATGCCACACCGTGGAGCATTTAAGGTAAGAAATGACATCTCCATGGAGACAAACCATTGGCATACCTGCCCTAGGTAAAGGCTGTTGTATTTTTCGTAGCCCAAGTTTTCTGACATCAATAGAAGAGTTACCCATTCAAGACATGTCCAGTGGCTGAATAAATGAAAGAATGACAAACCGACACAAAGGCCAGTGTTCTGCAGCGTGCTCCTTTGGGCTTGGAGCTCGTGCACTACCGACAGACTACGTAACGTAGCCTTCGTCACTAATGAGCCTAAAAGTAAAACCCTATTGGCTGCTCGCCTCCTCCGTGCGCTCCATCACCAGCAGCGCCGCGGTAAAAGCGGAGTGGAGTCTCGTCTCTCACCGCAGCGCCTGTCCGTCTCCTGCAGCCTGTCGGAAGAATGCGCACCCTGCCGCGTGCACCGATGGAAAGAAACGATCGAAAGTGCGTTTGGAAACTTCTCAAAACTTTCCCGGGACTAACACCAGCCCAGCGTGATGCGTGACTGATTGGGGTCTTATTGGACACGAGGTAAGGCATTTTAGGGTACGATGGTGGCGCCAAGAAAAGTAAAAATGTAAAAAGCTTTTGTGTTTGCACCAAGTGTGAGCTGGGATTTGTTTTATCCATTGTGCAAAATTGTTACAATTTGTGAGGGAATACCTTGCAGTACCTCTGAGCTTATCCATTAAATAGAAACACGTGACAAATTAGCCTACTTTTCCCGGAATGAGTAGCCTAAATCCAAAATGCTTTCTTTTAACGTCACGTCTAAGGATGAAGTTTATCAGGTTATATTTATGCAAACTACTCATTCAGTTTTTTTTTCTTCATATATTCATCTTTCATTTTAGTTACTGTTTAAGTCTGTTTGTAGTCCACATTAATCACTCCAGCATAAGTACGCTACATGATGACCGTTGAAGTGCCTTGAACATGCCATATCTTACACGACTGCGTTAAGACTAGCAGTTTAAACATTAAAGTATTGTTTATTGATTTCCCCCCAACTTTTCATCTCTGTAGGATGCCTTTTTAATGCTACATTAACGCAAGAACACACAATCTCTTGGCAGACCGCACTGGTGCATATGGTCCTGTCTATAGTGAACCGCCTATGGCAAAACTGACAGATTTGAACACACTATAAACAAATCTTTTGTGTGCACTGGAAAGCAGCTTCTCCCACAGCGCGTTTCATTTGTTTCATCGATCCCAAAGCAGTCAAAGCTCAAAAGATGTGTTGTGAGGACGCTCATCCAAACCTGCAATTTCAATTGAAGACTGCTCACCACATCACAACAATGGAGAGCAATCAAAACAGTTAAAGAAAGGCAGTTGATGTGGGCTAATGCATAACAATGTCCACGTAACATTGACGTATAGTTTTTTTTTTTTGTTTTTTTTTTTAAGTGTTCTTATGGTCTCCTCTGAATGTAAAATATGTTTGAATAACAGAATTGTCACTATAAAATCTGACTTCTTTATACACACATCTATTTGTGTGGCATTCAATCAAAAGGCTTCCCAAGTCATTTTCTTAATTCTATGCAGTAGTAAAAACATAGTAATGCCAGTTAAAGTGGTACACATGTTTCTCATTTAAAGGTGCACTATGTAACTTTTCTGATGAATGGTTTGGAATCTTTCATAGTTTGGCATTAGATTTCACAAAACTGTAAATAAATAAAAACTGTAATAAATGCATTCTTACCGTGAACAGGGTTGCCTCTCCACAGATCTGTCCTGTGACTTGATTGGTGGGGTCACCTACTCCATGCATACAGATGAGTTCAATGAATTCCATACTGTGGTGTTACATTTTGCATGTTTAATATTCTTTAAGTTTCACACACTTGAGCAGAGTCCATTCATATTTCAGAACTGGGACCAAACTAGATTAAACCAAGACCAAACTAAAAGTGTACATTAGGGCTAAACTGGGCTCAGACCAAGTAAACACAGTAGAATACACACTGTGAATGTGTTATGCTTTGCCTAAAACAATCCATAGTGTGGCATTAAACACATCTATCTTACATGTATTCAGTTACAGCGTTAAGTCTTTTTTTGCTCAAACATGTATTGAAAAACATGTGACAGGTGACAGACCCTTCCACAGAAAAAGGACATAGTGCACCTTTAAGCAAATAGATACTTAATAAAATTTTACTTTTACATAGATAAAACAGTTTTGATTTTGGCTGTCTTTTTTTTTTTTTATAATGCTTTATAATTGGACTGATAATGATAGTCAGTTAACCCAAATCTTTTCATAGCTAGATAAAGAAAGATTTTTTATCCATTGTCCTGAAAACCTTGAATATGTCCCCAGCAATAATGTTTATAAAATGAATGCAGAGTAAATCCAAGCGCGGAGGGACACGTGTTTTCGACCTTTGTTCTAAGGATTGTTTAGTGACCCTTATGTTGTCAAGTGATCAATGTCTGTCACTCAGGATCAGTAACAGTCTGATGGAGCCAGTGGCGGTCCTACACTGATTTACTCCCCGGGAGAGACTGGCGCCCCCCATACCTCGGGACCAAAAAAATCCCCGCCTCCCCACAAAATGACGCTTTGGACCGTCCCTGTATGGAGCAGAGCATAGTGCTAAATAGAGGAGGGGTCACATGGTTGGATAATGTTAGCGGCATGAGTCATGACATAAATGTAAATGAAATCATCAGAGTCTGTTAATCTATAGGTAACAAGGGATACACAATATACTCTATGCTCCATATAGATTTGATGATAATAAAGACACTATTTTTTACACAACTTGAAGGAACATTGTGTAACTTTTCTGATGGAGATGTTACCTGGCATGTTCCACAGTATGGCATTACTCTTATTTATCTCTACAGAGACAGCAGATGACTCCATAGGGCCAAGTTACATATCAGCAAGTTTTTATGAAACATACATGAAACCCACGTTATTGACGATACCGGAACATTCCAGACACAGTAACATTATCTCCATGGAAACAAGAAGATGGCAGACCCTCCACCAGAAAAGTTACACAGTGTTTTCTTTAATGCTGCAATGTGGTTCAGATCAAGATCAAGACAATTCTAAAATTTTTAAAGAAATTTTGTCATGTTCATGTGTCTTTCTCAGTTTGGATACTAGTTAGTTTTAGTATTGATTAGTCTGATTGTTAATACCACTGACAAAGGAGGTAGCGAAAAGTGTGTGCTGCTTCTGAGAGCTCACCTTTCACTGTGATTCACCTGTCAAATTCACCTGCCACTCGCTCCGGGTCAAAAAGCAGCTGACCCATAGGACAAGTGCTGGGGAAAAGTCAGTATCACAATAAACATAACAAGGTCTGTGGTGAGGCAAGTTTTCTCACAGTACAATTGCTTGTTTTTCAAAGCATTTTTGAGAAATTAAAAATAACTGTAATTGAATAAATGCAAGATGGACAGTGTTGTAACTGAATGTGAAATATGTTATGAATTTTAATTTCTGGTAAAGTTACTCTTTTATTTGGTGGTACTTCTTTAACATCACACATGCACGATTTTGTTTTCCAAAATTGTGGAGCTCTAATGGTCCAACTCAATTAAGCATTTAGTTAGATCCATAGCACTTATTGCAGAAGAGAGCTACAACAAAATATGGAATAATTTTACATCTGAACATTTTGTTGTTAATACAATAGCACACCTATTAGTGTGAAAGCATTTCAAATTGTATTCCAGACCAACGCCTATGCATTTGTGCCTAAAAGGATCACTGTAATTGTGTATATTTGCAGATGGAGATGTCCGAGGATGAGGTTGACTTTTCATTCCACTCCAGCATCCCTCCAGTACTGGATATCATAGTGGCTGTTGTCTACACAGTTTTTGGTGAGTGTAATCCATCCATCCATTTTCGTTTGCTTTATCAGGGGCCGGGTCGGAGAGGCAGCAGTCTGAGCAGGGAGACCCAGACTTCCCTCTCCACTTCCTGCAGCTCTTCTAGGTGGATCTTGAGGTGTTTCTAGGCCAGCCAAGAGAAATAGTCCCTCAAGCATGTCCTGAGTCCTGAGAACAGATGCCTGAGACACGTCTCAATGTAGAAAAGCAGCGGCCCCTCTCGATGTGGAAGAGCAGCGGCTCTACTCCGAGCTCCTCCTTGTGACTGAGCTCCTCACCCTATTTCTAAGTGAGCGGAAGAAACTAATTTGTATGGTATGGTATCATGAAGCGGTAGTTTTCAACTTAACAGCTACCTTTTCCTTGTTCAGTGGAGATTAGCGATTCCAGGACTGAAATTGTCCAAACGATTTTACTGAAGGTGTATGGAGTTAAAAAACACAGTGAAGTTTTCAGTTTGAGAGAACAACTCAGCCTTAATATGCAAGGTTTGTGTGTTAAACGTGTGAATGAAACAAAACACAACTCCAGATATGTTTTTGATGAGGAAACAACATTTTAACAACAGAAATAGCATAATATCGTCCCTTTAATAGTCAATGTTCCACAGTGCCTAGGCCTGATGTGTGTGTGTTTGCTCACAGGGGTGTGTTCTCTGATGGGGAACAGCACCTTGTTGTATGTTTCCTACAAGAAGAAGCACCAGTTAAAGCCCGCTGAGTTCTTCATCATCAACCTAGCCATCAGCGACTTGGGGCTCACTCTGTCCTTGTACCCCATGGCCATCACCTCCAGTTTCTACCACAGGTATTGCACTTAGTTTCTACTGTAAAACTACTCTTATTTTCTCAATGCATGGGAATGCAAATTAATAAACAAAGAAATTACTTATGTTATAATTACAACGTGCATTTATATAGGTAAAAATATGATTTTATCATATTTTTTTGTGGATGAAAAACAATGAATGTCAGCCAGATATTAGCAATATTGCTGGTCAGTTGCTTATAACTGCATTATAATATTATATTGTTAACTGATAACTGTGATTATTCAATGATTGTCTAAACTAAATATTAAATAATTGTGACATGCTAATTGACTTTACTGCTGCAGTTTTGTGCTATCAAAGTTTTGTTGTATAATGACAATAAATCTAATCTAATGTTAAGCAAAATTATTATTTTTATTATTTTTCAGTTCCTTCAACAAAGTAAACCTAAATATAAAGTGTGGCTGTTTATGTCAGATAAATTTTTCATTCATAAAGATTCATTTCAGAAAGCTGCAATGTATTGGACAATGTGAATGAAAGAAAATTAAAAAAAAAGTCACCCTGTGGTCATGGTGCCAATAATTGTGAATATCTGTACTTCCTGTACTTTCCTTCTGTTTTTATCTGTACTTTCCTCTCCTTTCCACTGTAACCGGTCCACCCTTTTTGATATCACTCTGCATTGTGTTATGGGTGTTGAGGTAGAAATGACAGAGGCTAGATCCAGGTTCAGTAGGTTTACGGTTCAAACAAAAAGACAAATCACAAACTGCTGTGAATGTGAGGTGGGAACATACCTGGAGTTGTGTTTTGTTCCATTCACACAGGTTTGAGTAACCCTTTATTATTCATCTGTCTACATCTCCAAATCTTAAAATGCTCTGTTCCACCCTGTGATGTCATGAAGTTGTAGTTTTACTACCTTTTACCTTTGGTTCAGTAGAGATTGGCAATTCCAGGTCTGAAATCATCAAAATGATTCCAGTGAAGGTGTATGGAGTTTAAAAACACAGTCGAGCACTTCCTGTATTACCACATGACATCACAAGGTGGAAGAGAGTGTTTTCTGTTTGAGAGCAGAACTCAGCAGAGGAAACGACACACATCAGACAAAAGTATAATATGGGCCCTTTAATAAAAATGTGATATCCTGACCCTCGTTGTAAATCTACCAACACCTGAAGATCTCCCCTCACTGCTGATGTTGTCGATGCCCTCTCCCTCACCCCTTCACTCTCCCACACAGGTGGCTGTACGGGTGGACGATCTGCTCCATGTACGCCTTCTGTGGGATGCTGTTTGGCCTTTGTAGCCTCACCACCCTCACTCTGCTCAGCACAGTCTGTTTCGTCAAAGTCTGTTACCCCCACTACGGTGAGTCTTCAAAGAAACCTCCGGACCAATCAAATGGCACAGGATTAAGCACCTTTTTCCCAAGTGTAAAATAGTTGCTGCTTTTGTGGAGAAAGAAGTAACGTCGATAATCCCCTTGTAAAGTACTGCACATTAACCCTCCTTTGATGACTGACGCAGCTCCGCTCATGGTCCATTATGTGTGATGTCTGTTTAATGCAGTTCAATATTGGCTTCGACCTGACTTTTTCCCCAAAGGTTTTTTTTCTGTAATGCTTTCTTTGTAACAATATGGCTAGCCATTAAAAATACAGTGGAGATCTGGGGTCACACATTTTCTGGTTAAATGGTAATCTTTGGACTACTACACACACACAAAAAAAAAACAAAAACATGCAAGTACAGCTTTAAGTGATTTTAGTGCATTTATACTCCAAAAAAATGTAAAGCTAAAAGTAAAGTCTGTTTTAATTTGGTTGTTATGTCATTTAAATTTACCATACATTAGTACTCGAGCAAGTAGAGTTAGGTCATATGTAACAAATCAAGAGATGTAATCGTGACATACTGTATATGGACAAAGCTAACCCGCTAGCCGCCACCTTCCAAATAAGAAGTGAGCGTGGTCGTGCTTCCTGCTCCATCGACTCTGACACCAATTCACTTTCTATTGAAAAACTGTTTATAAATTATTTTGTTATTTTGTCCCTAAATCAAGATATGGACATTAACAACAGATCAATGCGTTGATTGACAGCGTTGCTAAGTGCCCGCCCCCTACTAAACCAGCGGTGTGGGAGGAAAGGAGTGTTACCTTCAACAGCTTCAGTTGGCTGGGGTGACATGACATTCGCTCAGCCCTCTTCTTTACACAGTCTATGAATAGTAAACAAAAACTAAAGACAGTATATTTTACACGGAAATTAGAAGTGTAGAAGTGTTGTCAATAGAACTTTACAAAAATGGTTCTGTTGTCAAGCTTCACATCTCCTAGAGTTTTGTCTTTTTAAGTATATGTTTTCCTTTTTTTTCTCTGTGATCTAGCTGTATAGTATGTTTTCAAAGCCAGTATATAGAAATATGTAAAAATATATCTCGTGCGGGAATTCGCTTTAATGTATTGAAAGCCCCTAATCCCCCTATACAGTTGTGATGTTGTAATCCTGTGCTATTTTGAAAGTGTAAAAAATGTGTTTGTGTCAACGCAATCTGGCAAGTGTATCACTGTTTTATCACTAACCAAACTGAAAATACGCACTCTTTGAACCGTATCATAATTTATTAGATATTTGGTTTACAAGCTCGCCAAATTAAAATAGTGTTTTAAAGTGGGGTTGGTTGATATTAAATTGTAGTTTGATGAAATCGTACATCAATTTTGGTGAAATTGTCATACAGTGAATAAGTGCTTCTATGCAGCTCAATTACTCAAACACCCACCAAGATGAGGAGTCCTATTGTTCAGTATTCTACATATTCAGAATATAGTAGTTTTATTGATCCATGTAATGGAATACATTACAAAATACATTTTAATTTGGGTATTCAGTATTCTGTAACTAAGTACATTTTCAAAGTATTCTTCCCATTACTGAAGATAGATAGGATTAATGCCATACTGTGGAACATTGACGAAATAACATCTTCATGAGGACAATCAGGTGCTGGACCCTCCATCAGAAAAGTGACATACATAGTGGACCTTTAAGTAATTACAGCGATATCAACCATTAACCAGGTCGAAAAATCTGCATTTGTTAAGTTTAAAGACAAATTCTCCAGTTATTTTTGCTCTTATATGTACTGTGTATGTCTATTTACAAGTGTGGGGATTTAAAGATCCTATTACAAAATAGATTCTTGTGATCGTTAGGCCATGTTATAATATTGTATCCTTATCAAAAACATACCTGGAGTTGTGTTTTGTTTCATGTTTGAGTCTGTTTGCATCTCCAAAGATCTGAATGCTCTGTTTCACCTTGTGATGTCAACAAGTGGTAGTTTTCATGTTAACAGCTACCTTTTACTTTTAGTTGAGTAGAGATTTGTAATTCCAGGGGTGAAATTATCCAAATGATTCTAGTTATGTTATGTGGTAAAGCACTTCCTGTTTTACCACATAACATCACAAAGTGGAACTCTGTTTTCTGTTTGAGAGAAGAGCCTACATTTACGAGGTTTGTGTTAAACATGTGAATGAAACAAAACACCACTCCCAGTATGTTTTTGATGAGGAAACAACACTATAACACAGATCAGAACACAGCTCAGTATGGCCCCTTTAAGAATGTTATGCAATGTGAATCCAACTTTGACAAAATGACTATAGATACTGCTATGATCTCACAGGAAACCGCTTTAAGGCCCTTCACGGACGACTCCTGATTGGCTTGGCTTGGCTGTACGCTCTGCTGTTTGCCGGCTCCCCTCTGGCGCACTGGGGAGAGTACGGTCCAGAACCCTATGGCACGGCCTGCTGCATCGACTGGCGCGTGTCTAACCTGAACCCCAGTGCCCGCTCGTACACTGTGGCTCTGTTCCTCCTCTGCTACATTTTCCCGTGTGCAGTGATCCTGGCTTCATACTCCTGCATCCTCATCACTGTGCAGGCCTCCAGGAAGACTATGGAGCAACACGCATCCAGGCAGACTCACATGAGCAGCATTCAGGCCATCATCGTCAAGGTGAGAAGAAACATGGTGGAGCAATTGCAAAGTCAGCTTCATGAACAACTGATACTTTTGCAGTGTATGGCATAAGCTGAAAGCACAACTCTTTTAGAAGCACTGTTACTCAAGTTTGACTTTAAAGGGACAGTTCGGAATTTTTGGACACAGGACCTCATTTCCTAGTTAACCAGAGTGTTGGAGACATGTGGAGACACTTTTAAAAATATTTCATCCACTCCTTGTATTTGCAGAGGTCGCTGGTACTAGGCTAGCACATGTCAATGGCCATAGTTAGCCTGCCACTAAAAACAGTCTTACCCACTCCACAAAGCACCTGAAGCAAATATATTATTACGCCAGACTGTTGATGTGTCTATGTTAATAGAATCATTTTACAAGTAAAATCAACATTGCATTTGAAGGATTTATGTCTGAGCAGCAGCAGTGAGTTGTACTGCCTGATAGAAAGCTTGGCAGTGGTGGACTGATACCACCTAGCACCTATCTTACTGGCAAAGTAAAATTCCGCTGCTGCTGAGAAAATAGTCGTGCGACGATTCATGCGTTGCAAGGTTAGTCTTATTTCAAACATTATTCTATCAACACAGACAATCACATTGACAGTCTGGTGTAATAATAGATTTGCTTCAGGTGCTTTGTGGAGTGGGTAAGACTGCTTTTAGTGGCAGGCTAACTATGGCCATTGACATGCGCTAGCCTAGCACCAGCGACCTCTGCAAATACAAGGACTGGATGGAATACTTAAAAAAGTGTCTCAACATGTCTCTAACACTCCCAACAGGTCCTTTGTCCCAAACACAGTCTGACCAGAAAGACCTGATTTGGTTGAAACTACAACTCAAAGTACTTGGATGTTTAGTTTCTAAGATCTGACAATCAAGCTTTGACAAGCAGATATGGTCAAATAGGGCTATAGGCAATGAGGCCTCATTAGCACCGCATATGTATCACAAAAAATAAACAAATAAGCTTGTAACATTAATGCAACACTATCCATGTTTTCCTTTGTCTTCTAGCTCAGTGTGGCTGTGTGCATTGGCTTCCTCACAGCATGGAGTCCTTACGCCATTGTTTCCATGTGGGCGGCGTTCGGACAGGTGGACAGCATCCCCCCTCTGGCTTTTGCTCTGCCGGCCATGTTCGCCAAATCCTCCACCATCTACAACCCCGTCATTTACCTTTTACTACGGCCCAACTTCCGCAAAGTCATGCGCAGAGACCTGAGAACTCTGTACCGTGCTTGTCTGAAGGGCTGTCCCTGCCTACAGCCCGACATTGGAGTCCAGCTACCCACAATTCATAGACAGAGCCCCACACTGGACCCCAATGCTCCTCCTGGTGGGGATATTAAGGATAACAGCAGTAAGAAGTGTAGTGATGCTTTTGAATGCTTCCGACACTACCCCCAAACATGCAGTGCGATGAACCCATTGGATAAAGCAGAAGTGAAGGACATACCCCCTCCCACTTCTCAAAACATCAAGGATAGGGGTCAGGGAAACAGAAAATGTCCGCTGATCAGTATATGCACTAAAAAAACACCAGAAATAGACAACTTGCACATTGACTTGGAGATGGTGCCAGGACAAGCGAAGGTAGCTTGGCCCTGACTACCATGACTACAGTTTTTTATACTGAAAACTTATTTAAAGGGGCATTATGTAACCTTTGGGGAAGAGGTTCTGACAGCTTAATGCTTCTTACTTTGCCTGGAATGTTCCACAATATACCTTTAATCTATATTGTATTTATTCAGTAGCAGATGTTTTTATTGGTAGATAAACTACATACAAATCATGCATTCCTAATATGAGATATGTCACCTCTCCATAGATGTGATCTGTAACTTGGCTTGGTAGTGTCACCTGTTTGTCTCCATGGAAACAATGAAAAAAGTTGAATGCCATGCAGTGAGAAGGCAAAGTAAAAATCTCCATGGAGATAAGCAGGTGGTGGTTTCCTCCATCTGGAAAGTTACACAGTGGACATTTAAAGCTGAGAGCCTCTGAAACCTTTGGAAGGGGAAATCTGACTCCACTGAACTGCAGTAGCCGGCTGCATAAAATTGGACAATTTAAATTTTTAATTTTTCTGTGTGCCCTCTTACGAGGTATAAGGTGGGCATAAGGTGTAGTGTCTGGTTTGTTGGTAATACGCCCTAATATGCTAATATACTTTTTGGTGCAAATGTACTTTTTGTGTTACTATTTCAGTTAATTCCTGCTAACTTGGATGTGAGGTGGGCACTCATGTATCTTCCATGCAAAGCGATGACACCCCCATGGAGACAAGTAGGTGGCGGACTCTCCACTGGAAAAGATATATATTGCAACTTTAAAGCTACCACCTGTACGTTTATTTGATTTGTTTTATCAGTACATGGCAGATGTGACTCCCCCCTCTCGTCTTCTTCTGTCAGGCAAAATTTGACACACCATCAGACAGAGGTAACATTGCTTTGCTTTGTTTCCATTATGTTGCATGGTTAACATTTAATTATAAAATAAAAATAATAATACCTGGATACACATAGATTTAAGTTTATACTGTTTATACTGTACAGTATATGCTAATTATTACATGTTTGTTTTTGGACTATTATATTTTTACAGAAAATTTATTTTTGTGCCTATTTCTTGTGTACAGAACTATGGGTAGTCACTATTTAATGTGTTCTAAACTCAGGCAGGAGTCTGTTTATGTAAATTTACTATTTATTTATTTCTACATTCTTTATAAAAATCCACTTTTATTTTCACAGTATTTTACAAAGCAGTTTCCAAAGTTTTGCACATTGTAAATTCAAATCATGTGAAATCTGTGTTGCTTTTACCAGCAGAAAGAATGATGCCAAAGTCCAAGTGTCAAAACCAACACAAATGATTTTATGAAATTATTTTAACATGTTTACATGCCAACTGCAGGTTTACCCTATGGTGCTTAATCAATCTTAATCTGTGAAGCTAACAGCACTACTGTTCTATGATGGCATTAATTTATATCTGTTGTAATGTGTTGTGGTTGTTAGATCCATCTTTGGCACATATATTTAAGAATTATTTAATATTTTACCTTTTCTATAAGAAAGAAAAAAGACTTTACATTCTGTTTACATTTCCTGTATCATCTGTATATCACTGTTATTGTTTGTTATTATATGTATGTGTGTAATAAATGCAATGTTTAAAACTCCTTCTGTTGACTCCTTGATAGATTATTTGTTTATATTGAACCGCAGATTCAACCTTAAGAATTAGATGTTAATCCCTCAAAAGGAAACGATAAAAACTTAGAAAAAAAGTGATTTTATCATCTGGACACATTGGTCTTTAGACATTCTTTACTCGAATCGTGTTTAATAAAAGAAAAGTTTATTTATCAGTGAAAATATGTGTGAGCATTTGCATAACAGAACACCTCAGATAAAGGCACGTTTTAATAATTTGCAACAGAGGTGGGTAGTATTCAGTTACATTTACTAAGAAATTATAGTTCTTGGTAATACTTGTTTTAATGTCTTACTTGAGTAAAACAAATTGGTTACTCTTTCCACTAAGTCTTATGTTGACAAATATATTTATTTCTTCTCATATCCTTTATATCTTTTTTGTGCTTTCTTTAAGGTTTTATTAATTAAATTTTCATTTAAATTAAAACACAGATGTTACGTCCTGAGTACTCTTACTTGAGTATCACAAAATTGTAATTTATTGAACTACTACTTTGTATTTTGACTTAATGAAGTTCTGTTACTCTTACTTGAGTCTAATTCTTGACAACTCTACCCACCTCTGCTCTGAAATCTTTTCAGATGCCAAAGAGCTGAATGACTTTTCATAATGATAGTGTTTACATAAAACCATGGTTTGAATGTCTTTACAACATGTTATTTAAACTTGGTTCATACTACAATGTGCTGATTAACACTTCCGTACAATTTTACAAACAATGTAAAGCAATAAAAAAGTCCAGTCCATAGTACAGAAACGGCTGAAAAACTATATTGTGTCTAGCTTGCACAATAACACATTTTAAAGCTAACTATTTAGAACCTTTATCCTGCGTACGAATCCCACAGTTACCTGGAAATTAACATATAATCCAATGTGTAATAAAAAAGAAAGAACTGACACTGTAAAAATTCATTAAGTTCATTTCATTTATGACACGACATTCATAAACTCAAATAGACAATTCTAACCCTAATAAAACATGTATAAGAACAAAACACCTTACCCTGATTATTTAGAATACTTTTCCATTAAGGAGCTCAATAGTGACTCCCCACTCCATTTCCGGAAATAAATGTTCCATTTATTTTCCCATAGACTTTAAGAAAACATCAGAGTTAAAAGATTGTGCTGAAGCTAATCAGCTATATGCTAACTAATATCCATAATGCAGTTATTTAAGTCCAAAAGGCCCATGATTTAATGACATCACAGTTTATAAAGTTTCAGAAATAAAATTATAGGTCTTGTGCTCATTAGTCACGACGTAGCTGGTTATGCCTGAGCAAGCTTTCAAACGTTTTATTTTTTATTCTTTGCAAGGTCCATGTGAAAAATAAATGAGAAATTTACTTTCGGGACCAGGGGTGGACGGTCACTGATGAGCTCCATTAAAAACGCTGGCATCAAAATCATAATGGCACCTCAATTTCTGCTTGTATTTTTGAAAGACACATGTATTCTCTGGTTCATTCTTACCAACTGGCTTCCGTACATCCATGTAAAAAGCTTATGAGGACTGTTCACATATGTCTAGAATTTTCTGGATGACACCTATGGTTACTGTTCCTTCCAAGGCTCGACAAAGCTTCCCAACGGTACACCCCAGACTGCCCTCCTTCATCTTCCACCTCTCCAGCGTCTGGTGCACCATCTCCGGGACCCCATAGCGGTAGGAGTCCAGCTCGATGGTCTCAATCTCCACATCGCTCAGACACAGCCTCCGCGCACAACGCTTCCACTTGGCTCCGATGTTCTCTCGGAGCACATCCAAGTGTTCCTCTGTCACGGGACAGTCCTCTGCACCAAGTGAAAACAAACATACTGATATCAGCTGAAAAGTATCAATACAAGCCGTGGTTTGAAGCTCTGTTACTTAAGTTTCACTTAAAAATTGCATCATGTAGCTTTTCTGGTGGAGGGTCCATCAAATGCTTTTCTCCATGGCGATGCTATTGCTTTGTCTGGAATGTTTCACAGTATTAAATGTTTCTATCTTCATGAAAACTGCATTGGATATTTGAGCTAAAAGAAGCCACCTGTAATTTAATAAATGCAGTGTAGAGCTGTTTAATGTCATAGTGAGGAACATTGCAGGCAGAGCAATGACATATCCATAGAAACAAGCAGGTGACAGACCTCAAGTTCCATTGTGTACTTTTAATAAGAGCTTAGTTTTAACACAATCTGACCATAAAGAATTGACCTAGTTGGAATTATATCAGGTGATCTGATTTGTGTTGTTACATAAGTCCCTTTCACATAAAAATTACAGTCACAAGCTAGCAAGCATTAACCAACTGTCACACTGACTGACCCTTTTTTATTGAAAATCACCACACCACGCTCATGAACAATCATATATATATACCATATCATATCATATAACACAGGCTCCTGTCTTGCTTAAATCCCAACATGGTGTTACTACTAGAATTTGTCCTAATCTCAGATGGCAAGGACCTATATAACTCCATAGGACATACAATTTTGTTGAAAGAAATATCCAGAATAGAAATCTACAAATGGCACTACTTTCTGAAGATTATGAAAAAAAGTATTTAGCTTTTGTTTATTTATGCTGACTAAAAAAATTTTGAACTTGAAACTTTTGTTGCATGAGGACAGGCCAATTATTTGCAAAGATAATGACCACAAACCAGGTCAACAAACCTGCAATCTGACGGTTAAAGGGTTACTCTGTTTCCTGATCTATGTTATAATGTTTTTCCTCATCAAAAGCACACCATTCCCACATGTTTAACACATAAATTTTGCATATTTAGGCTGAGTTCTTCTCTCAGACAGAAAGCACTGTGTTCCACCTTGTGATGTCATGTGGTAATACAGGGAACGCTCCACTGTGTTTTTAAACTCCACACACCTTCAATAGAATCAGTTGGATGATTTGAGCCCTGGAATTTCTCATTTCTGCTTGAGGTAAAAGGTAGCTGTTAACTTGAAAACTACCACTACATGACATCACAAGGTGGAATAGAGCATCTTCAGCTTTGGGGATATAAACAGACTAATAATAAAGGTTTACTCAAACATGTGTCAGTGAAACAAAACACAGCTCCTGGTATGTTTTTGAGGAGTTAACAGCATTATAACATGACTTAAAGGTGCAACTTTTCTGGTGGAGGATCCGCCACCTGGTTGTCTCCATGGAGATGTTATTGGTTTGCCTGGAATGTTCCATGGTATGACTTTAAACATATCCATCTTGCATTTATTCATTATGTGTGTTTCTATTGCTCAACCATACAATAATTCTCTGCTGTAAGTGCTGCAACCTGCTCATGTCCCTTGTGATAGATATATTTAATCTATAATATGGAGCATTCTAGACAATGCAAACATTTTAATGGAGACATCAGGTGGTGGACTCTTCACTAGAAATGTTACGCAGTGCACGTTTAAAGCTCACGTTTAAAGCTCACCATTTTGTATAACATAGGACCGATATTCCAACGTAGAAATGAGAATTGTCCTCCAACTCATTATTAAACTACAGGGATTATAGGATGTTGTGGTGTCACGTGAACCCAAACTATTCGCATTTGTAGCATAAAACAGGGAAGCAATTATGGTATGTGTTGCTATATGCAGGGACAACACTACAAAGAAAGTCACTGCAATTTGTTCTGAAAGAATAGAGCACAGAGAAGAAGAAAATAAGGTATAAAGGTTTACCATATATTTGAACAGCTTCTTTGATAGATACGGTAGCTCCACCTTTACAGAGGGTTGATAAATTTGAGTCATAACCACGGATACTTAGCGTGTTGTTGTTGCCAATTTGGATCCCGCTTGCGTTCTGGATGTACAGAGAGCCTGAAGAAAACAAAAGCTCATTAAAACAGAGAAAAATCTTGCATAGTATACAGTTGACTACTAAAGAGACCAGACATAACATTATAACTAGGGCTGAAGTACAATTGTGATTTGATGATATATATTGTTATTATATATCATCATTTCTTAATCCAGTGTTTTGATTTCTAATTTGGCTCTATGCTCAAATATACACCCCCTGCTCAAAGGGTGACAGGTGGGTTTAACCAATCACAGTGAAGTATGAGCTCTCAGAAGAAGGAGACGGCTTTAATTGTCTCTAGGCAGCAAAGATACAAAATTTGTATGAACCGTGAGACCTTCCCCAGAACCCTGTGCTGGGTCCCACGGGACCAACAAAACAAAACCGTGCAAAACAGTGCAATGCGGGACACATTTTGAAAGCTCATTGCGGGCTCAGGCCAGAGCAGGACTATGCAACGTGGGTGTGGGCGGGTGGGACGTTAAACTGCAGTCCCGCAAACTAAATATGAGTGCAAAGTAAAATATACAAATGATGAATGTATGACTATCATGCATAATTTGTACTGAATATTTTATTTGGTGTTAATAAAAACATTTTAAGCAGCCTAAATGTGCATATGTGGTCTAATCTCACATTTTGAACAATTGCTTTTTATTTTGTTTTGCTTCTATTCTATTTTTATTTTAAATGCTATGAAAAATGTTATAAATATTTAAATTGCATAAAAACAATAGCAACATTACACTAACAGACATATTCTTCAAGCTGGTAAAAAAAAAAAAACTTTTAAGGTCCAACTTTTGTGTAACTGTAACTTTTCTGGTAGAGGGTCTGCCACCTGTTCAACTCCATGTTGTTTTTTTCTGAAATGTTTAACTAACTCCATGGACACAAGCAGCCCTTATAACCGGGCCAAGTTATAGGTCAGGTCTGTGAAGGAGTGAACCCGTTGACAAAAATAATGCATGTTTTTGAGCTAGTTTTGAGAAGTAAAAACAACTGTGATTGAATAAATACAATATATTTGTCTAATGCCATACTGTGAGACATCCCAGGAAAAGCAATAAGCTCACCATAGAGACAAGTATATGGCAGACGCTCCACCAGAAAAGTTACACAGTGCATCTTTAATTAAATGAATAAATAAATAAATCAACATGTAATGGACATCATTGTAAAGGACATATACCTGTATCCTGAAGTGAGCTTCCCTTAGAAGACGGCAACAGTCTCCCATTGGTCAGATCCGGAGCGGCGCTATCCGAGACCGGGAAAAGTGGCCATGACTGCTGCCGGTCAATGTGTGCATGCCCCGGGTTAAGAGTGGAGAGGGAGGGAGAGCTGGAGGAAAGCTGAGAGGGATGGAGACCAGAGGAAACCATGGAGTCATAGCCAGCAGAGGGCCAGTATCGCGTCTCCTCCTGGCTGGTTGCATCTTTGGTCCAGGACTGCACAGAAGATACCAGTGGTTTGTCCTGTTCCGGTTGTCTTATGTTGAAGTCTGGTTGTGCATAAGAAACAGCATTGCCCTGGTAACCGTTGGCGAATTCTGTGTGGCAGTTGTAGCTTCCATGTTTGTGGTACTGGAGTTCACGGTCTAACTTCTCCTCTAAGTGTGAGGGTCCGTCAGGGACTTGTGCGTCAGTCTCGATTTGGTCTTCCACAGAATCGTTCTGGATTTCGTGGAGATCTTCAATACTAGCTTCAACTGGGCCAGAAACACTACTGCCTGAGCTCAATAATGGGGCTGGAGAATCTGTAAAGGAAATAGTGAGATATAGTTACAATACATGACTAATAAAAGTTAAAGAGCTTATATTACGCTATTTTCTGATCTGTTATAATGTTATTTTCGCATCAAAAACATACCTGGAGTTGTGTTTTGTTTCAGTCACACATGTTTAACACACTACTCCTGCATATTTAGACTAAGTTCTTCTCTCAAATGGAAACACACCGTTCCACCTTGTGATGTCATGTGGTAATATGGGATGTGCTACACTATCTTTTTTAAACACCATAACCTTCACTAGAATCATTTAGATAATTTCAGCCCTGCCCATCTCTACTGTACAAAAGGTAAAAGGTAGCTGTTAACTTGAAAACTACCACTACATGACATCACAATGTGGAACAGAGCATTCTGAGATTTGGAGACATAGAGAGATTAATAATAAAGGGTTACTCAAATGTGTGAATGAAACAAAGCACGGCTCTGGGTATGTTTTTAATGAGGTAAGAACATTCTAACATGGATAAAATCTCACAAGAATTCATTTTGTGTAATATAGGACATTTAAGAGTTTGGTTTTGAGAAAAAAAACATGGTGATTTTAGGACACTTCTGAATTGTTACTAATAGTGAAATCAAAAATAGTGAAATCCAAATATATTTTTAAATGAACTTAAATAAACCTTTAAATAAACTTCTAAATGAAAAAGTAATGTTGCTGTGCTAAAAAAAACGTAATTGGAAAGAAAAGATTCCTTCACCTTGAATCTTTGCATGAAGGGAGAAACTAAGGAAATTTAAACAAACACACCCCGTCGTTTACAGTAAGTAAGGTAACCCAAGTCATATTTTGCATAAATGTTAATTTAACTCCTATGTTCTTACGCAAAATGTGGAAAACTATTTGGATAGTTAATAAAAATGCTAGAACATTTAAATTATTATAACATTATAAAATACGATATAGACACAATTAACATATAAATTCATTATTATCATTCAAGATAAAGCTTTGGGGTCTGGCATATTATATTATATTATATTGTGATTGTATTGTAAAGTCCTCACCTGTTAAAGAGCATCCATAAGACAAGGAGAGACATTTTATCTTTTCAACAAGCTCCTCTGGGCCTTCATACTGTTTCTAAACCAGATGAAAAAGAAATTATAATAATGCAGTGGAATACATTATTAGAATATAGATTATATTAGAAAAAACACACTTTCACTTCAATGACATCATTCTCAACATGTTGCTCAAAGTATTCTTGATAGAGGGGCAGGAAGATGCCATAGGCCTCTGTAAAATAAGGACATTATTATTGTACTGGAGCATAGTGGAAAATTATGAATGAGATGAAACTTTAGAATCTGTTTTCTGACAATATTCCACAAACAAACCCAGTGCATACCTTTGAATGTTGGTCGCTTGTGTGGTTCCGGATCCCAGCACCTCTTCATCAGGTCTATGATCTCTACAGGTGTGCCCTCTGGGATGAGATGCTCTGCAGGTCTGTTGCCGTTCCGCACACACTGGCTGATGTGGTCTTCACTTCTGGCATCTGACCACAAAACGTCATGTTTCACAGACTTTCAATAAATAGATTTTGTTTTTTTGTTAATTGTGTGGTATACACTATTTGTATAATTGCTTTTAACCACATTTTGTACATATGGTGCAACATGAAACGATAAGTATAATTTATAGTGAAAAATGGTATGCATGCTTCTTATTTTATCTTATTTTACAAAGATAAACAAACATATTCCACTACACAGAAGAATATCCTGCCTGACACTATACAAACTGTAACCTTTACTTTCTTTATGTTTAAATGATACTGGCTCTGTATGAATGTGTGCGTCTGTCTCTGTGTGTGAAGGGTGTGGCTTTTATTGCAAATGTAAATACTGTATGTGTCACAGGCAAAGGTTATAATCCAGGCATTGTACAGAATGCATAGGCAAAAGGTAAAGTCTGAAAGATTTTATTAAAGGCATGTTTTAGCAATTTCTTATGGACTGATATAATATTGTTATCGGGATACTTCAAAGCAAGATATTCATATTGGCCAGTATACACCCAAGTATAAAAATTAAAACAATTAATCAAATGTGTGAAAATGCTGCTAAACACTGCGGAATAAGATAGCAGTGAGAGACATGAAGTAGGGTCAAGTCGACCAGAAAAAACCCAGTGACAGTAAAACAGAAAAAATAAGTAAAAAGACAGTAAAAGAGAATTAGAACAAGGTGATTTATCCAGCAAAATAAGGAATGACTGCTAACAGTTTACTTTCACTTTGTCAGATTCTCTAATAATCTAAAGGTCTAATCAAAACAGACAATATTAATATTTTTCTTCTTTGCCAATTCATCTCAGGCATCATTCTGTAAAATGTCTGATTTCCTACTTTGCCTGTAACTTTTGTATTTTCTGTGTTCAACCCATAGTCACTGTATGTGTCTTCAAATATTTGTGTGTTGTTCTGCATACATCAAATGTCAATATTTATGTTCTAAATGTACATGGTCTCCCTTTTAAATAAATGGATAAACAATAAGGTATTAGAGATACATTTAGTTCTTACTGACTTGCATACGGTTCTTGTCCTGTAAGGATGACCCAGACCACAATGGCAAAGCTGTAGACGTCAGACTTCTCAGTGGACACAGTGTGGATGCTCTCCAGGTGTTCTGGGGCCATGTAGCTGAGGGTCCCGGCCCCCCGTGCCCCACATGAGCGCCCCATCTGGCTTTTCCTTCGAGACTCCTCTTTAGTCAGTCTGCTCCAGGTCTGACAGGTGGCCAGCCCCAAATCTGCAATCTGAAAAAAAGAAACACACTGAAACCTTTAATACAATATTGCCCTCATGTCTTCATTAAATAAAGTGTAAATGTACTTATCCTTTATCCTATCCTTATCCTTTCCAATCCTTATCCTTTATACTTGTGAAATTATGACCAAGAAAGATTCAACAAGACTTAAGGTTAATTCATTTAAACATTTTTGAGACATCCAGGACTAAGATATTATCAATGAGTTAAACCAGATTTAGGAGGAAATGTGTGAATCTGTGTGAATCAGCACTATTTAGAAGAAATTAGAGAAAAGAAGAACTTGCATCTTTGAGTCATCTTTAAAAATTACAACACAAATTGGTGAATATTGTGACATGAGAGCATACATATTATAGAAAGCATTATAAACGTGATATACTAGCAATTAATACCATGTGTAAGATATTAAAGGACACTATGTAACCTTTGCAGGGTCTGACACCTACTTGTTTCCATGGAGGTGTTTGCCTGGAATTGTCCACAGTATGATATTATTCAGGTCAAGATACAGGCCAAGAGAAGTGGCAACCCACTTACAGTAAAAATGCATGTTTTTCAATATATTTCTTGAGGAATAAAGCATTTGTATGCTTAATGCCATACTGTGGAACATTCCAGACAAAGCAATAATATCTCAGTATTGACCGATGGTGGACCTACCATCAGAAAAAAACCTTTAAACTGTCTGACATACCTTGATGTGAAAGTCTTTGTCCACTAATATATTTTCGGGCTTGATGTCTTTATGAAGGATATTCCTCTCAGTTAGATACACCATTCCTTCTAGGATTTCCAAGATGATTCTGGCCTTTAACGACATTGGAACGGAAACCTGGGAAAAGAAATCTATTTATTAAAACTAATTGTGCTGATGAGGTTCACTGATTTGGGAAAAATGTGCAATTGCAATTTTTCTAACAAGCTTTGCAATTGTGATTAGATTTGCTATTTCTGTTTTAATAATATATAATAAATAAACATGTCCAGAAGAATTGATAAAAAGGCATAAAGATGCAAACTAATACAAGAATCACATTTCTGAACATGTTTGCACAAATCTACACTACAGGGTTAGCAGGTTGGGCTAGTCTGGCTGTGATAAATCTTACAGCCTTAGTGAGTGACTTCCACTGTATGTGATGTACCTCTTCTAACATGACCAGAAGGTTTCCTCTTGGCAGAAGCTCCATGACCAGAGAGCAGTCCCTATCCTCCATGATGACCCCCAGCAGTTTGACCACTCGCTCGTGGTTCAGACTGGCCATGATATTCCCCTCCTCCAGAAGAGAGCGCTTTTTATCTCTGCAAGAAAAACACAAAACAAAACACCAAACAGATTTAAGGCCAGGCACTAAGTATTTTGGTCAATTTGCTCTCTCGACATATATAAGCTGGGGCGACAGCAGCTCAGCTGGTCCGCTGATCCAAAGGTTGGTGATTTGAATCCCGCTATTTACGTAAATTTAATTGGTTGAGAGGCCAGATCCATTAACCCACAGATTGGCAGTGCGATTCCAACTCTCACAGATGAATACTGTTGTTGTGTCTTTAGGTGTATGAATGCCTGTGAATGGGTGAGTAGTCCCTTGATGTAAAGTGCTTTGAATGTCTTGAAGGACTATAAAAATCTGACAATCTGACCATAGGCTTGTTTAAACGGATGTATGTACTCTCTTCTGCCTCTGCCTCTCTTCACTGACGTTTCTCTTTTTCCCATTTTGTGTGTGTGTGTGTGTGTGTGCGTGTGTGTTTGTTTTTATGGGGGATTTTTTGCCTCAGTTTTTTTTTTTTTTTTATATATCCAAATATTTGTTTTGTAAGCAAATCTAAAGGATTTGTGATTTCCATTAAACAAATGAGAGAATACATTAGACACAAAGACTTACATAAGACTGAAACATAACACTGAAACATTACAGTTTGTGCCTTTTAGAGTGCACTGTAGACACGTCACCATGAGGTCGCTTCTTCTGATTCTGCATGTTGGTAAGCTGATGTTTTATATATTTACAACCAAAAAATGCATATATATACATTTTATGATGATTATTTATGTTTAGATTTGTTTGTATTGTTTATTTGTAGTGTCTTTCTTATTCTGTCAAATATAATATGAAAACAAATTGTGCTATACAAATAAACTTGCCTTCCCTATACAGAAGTAGGGATTGGCAATACAGTATATTAAAAGAATGTGTATTAGAATTACAATTAGAATATTGAGTTTATTGTCTTTAAATGAAACTATTAAAAATGAAATAAAGAGACATTTCTGCACTTTTTTGCCATTCAGTTTTTGTGTGGTACTTGACCACTGTGATGCATTGTTACAAAATCGTCTAAATATCATGATAGACATATTACCAAAAAAATCATCATTTTGGTTAAAATGTTCGTATTAGCCCACTCTACATGATCCTGGTGCTTTTATATTGCTATTTTGTCCTTAAATAATAAAGAATTCTGCTTCAAATTTGCTCTTGTGACTGCTAGTCTTGCAAAATTCATTTGACTAAGACGAGCAGGTGTCCATCAGAAAAGCTGGACAGTGAACCTTTAATAAAACAAGTGTACTAATTATATACAGAGCCACAAATTGCTATGTAATTTTGCTGCATCATCACCTCTTTGTTACCATATAGGACAGTTTTTGTCTGGGGTGGGATGTGCTGTGAGATCTTATCAACTCATTGAGAAACGGCTACCATGGACAGAAGCTCAGAACTACTGCAGAGAGCGGTACATAGACCTGGCCACTGTAGATGATGAAGAACAGATGAACCTCCTAATAAAAACCACAGAGAGAAGTCCACCTCTGGGGTATGTTTGGACTGGGCTGTACGATGACATCAACAGCTGGAGGTGGTCCCTGCAGGACGAGGGCTTCTATGATGGAGGGCTGGACCAGTTCAGACGGTGGGGGCCAGGGCAACCAAGTAACTACAATAATTCATACACCTGTGGAGTAATGGTCACAGACGGGACATGGAAAACTGGTCCCTGTAGAGGAGCAATGAGGCGTTTTGTCTGCTACTCAGGTAAAAATGTTCAAATGATACAGCAGATGGAGCAAACACTAGATGCTGTTCTGATACAGGGAGGGGCTATCATAGCTTAGTCCGTTTATAGGTGCATTGCTCGACTTTTCTGGTGGAGGGTCCTTCACCTGCTCGTCTTCATGGCTGTCTATGTTACTGCTTGTCTATGTTATTGCTTTGTCTAGAATGTTCCACAGTAGAGATTGAACATATCAATCTCAAGGGAGACACCTATAAGCTATATTATAGGTCAGATCTGTGGAGATGCAGCCTGATTCATAGAGAGAATTTGTGTATTTTAAGCAAGAGAAACACCCGTTATGCATAAATGCTAGATACATTTGTTTAATGTCATACCATGGAACATTACAGGCAAAGCAATAACATCTCCATGGAAACAAGCAGGTGGCAGACCCTCCACCAGAAAAGTTGTGAAATGAATCTTTAAGGTGGGGCACTGTGGGTAAATAGGAAAAAAAATCTTAAATTTAGAGTTTTCAATTTGAAAATTCTACTTCATGACTTTTATACATGAAAATAAATTACAGTTTTCTTCATGTAATTTTTTCACATAAAAATATCACAAGTTATTTTAGTAAAAATTGTTAAAATTACCTAAATTTAGTACATACAGCACATCAAGCAAACAATGAATAAGGCCATGTTATATTTCTTACTTAATTTTACAAATTTTACACATATTTCAATTTTTTTCAGAAGCAGAGATATCATATCAGATTTGATATGCAGAAATTTGAGAATTTTTATACCCTTAGAGACTTCTATTCAGAAATGCATATCTGATAGCCTCTTCGTTGTGGCATTTCACTGTAGTAAGAAGCAGAATTTAATTTATCCGTATTTATTATTGAAAGATGACTATGTGACAATTTCGCAGGACAGTACAGGTTTACGCATAGTGAAGAGGGAAGTCAATTTTACACAGTATATCCCGTTAAAGTGCCTATGATAGATACTATTCATTTTACTAAAACACAGTTAAGATCACTATATTTGAGATTTTGCTTTAAAAAAAAAATCCAAGTTTGGTCTTTTTTTTAGGTTTAAATTTTTACTTCCTAGTTGGAAATCATGACATGATTTTCATAACTGTTATCTACAGTAACCATGCACTACGCTGGACCAAAACTCCTTTAATGTACACAGAAATTGTTTTTTGACAGATAAAAGTATAAGAAAACACCTTAATGTTGTTGAAATCATGTTTAAAATATCAGAAAAAAATGGTTTCTTGTGTAAATTGTGCAGGAACTTTTGGACTCTCTAAAACAGAACTCTACACTTCCAGTAACTTTCAACCTATTTTTCAACTTTTTTTTCCACAAACTGCTTCTTGATTTGTGTAAAATAAACAAAATAATTTATATTAACAACAGGTTATATCCCACTAATTATACGCATTTGTACTTTAATCTGTGATCTATGCTCTTTTCAGCTGGGGACACGCCAATGTTTAAATTCGTGTCTTTGACCAAGGGCTGGTATGATGCTCAGAAGTACTGCCGGCAGTACTTCACAGACCTGGCCAGTATAAGGAACCAGGCAGAGAACGATGAGCTGCAAATGTTCAGCACTAACTTCATCCACATTGGCCTGTACAGAGACACAGGGAAGTGGTCTGACGGCAACCCACTGTCCTTTATTAGGTTTAACCATGATTTAAAGTCTGGACAACCCTGTGGGGCTCTGAATGGTGCAGGCATGGAGTATACAGACTGCGCTACACCCTATCCCTTTGTCTGTAATGGTGAGCTGCCACTTCTCACAATGTCTTTCTTTTTGGATCTAAGCACTAGTGGAAAGAGTACTGAAAATGTGTACAGTAGTACAATAGTTACATGGCTAATGAAAATACTGTCGGACTTGTACTTATAGGTTCATTGTGTACCATTTCTGGTGGAGGGTCTGACAAATACTTTTCTCCAGGGAGATGTTATTGCTTTGGCTGGAATGTTTCACAGTATGGTATTAAAACTTTCTTATCTTCGTGGAAACCAAATCAGACCAAGTTACAGGTCAGATCTGGGGAGAGACAACCCCACTCACAGTCAGAATGTTGTTTTGGGTTTTTTTTTTAATGTATTTTTGAGCTATAAAACCTGTAACTGAATAAATGTAAGGTAGAGCTCTTTAATGTCATCCTGTGGAACCTTTCGGGCAGAGCAATGACATTTCTATAGAAACAAGCATGTGACGGACCACCAACAAAAAAGTTATACAGTGCACCTCACATTTGCACAGTGCAAGTTAAATTTAAAAAGTACACATCAAAAATTCTAAACTATATACTAGACTAGGGTTGGGCAGTAATACCCTATTACGGTATACCGCAGTATCAAAAAGTATCAACGGTATCAGTTTCATTACCGTCATTAAAAAAATCTGCAGCGCATAAGACCTTATATAACAGACCTAATATAATATTATAATTTATTGATACCTAAATTTGTTTGCTCAGCACAAATTAATTTGTGGTTGTTTTTTGAAGAGTTTTGAAGAGTCTGGTCAGGTTAAATTTCCCTGATACAGTAGGTGTGATTGACAAATGAATTAGCCAATAAAGGTACAGCTGTATCAAAACAAAAGGCAGTGCAGCGCTGTTACTATATGTGTTTGTAGATTTAGAAATAAGCAGAGACAACAGTGAGACAAATTTGTAGTGGAGCGAGTGGGATTTCTAAAGTACTCTGAAACTTATATGATTTGAAATGTTCCTTACAATTACGTGGCTACAATTATCATCAGTTACAAGTTTTAAAATCTACTCCAAAAATTATAATACAAATCTACTCAATACAGCAATCTGAGTATTTGTAATTAGTTACTTTCCACTTCGGGTACTAAGTCATATTTCTTTCCCCCTTTGTGTTTTAGACTATCCATACAGCCAGGTGGTGAAGTTGACCATAACCAACAATTTGTCTTTGAACCTCGAAGATGTAGCTGAATCCATATTGAAACAGGTAATGACTGGAAAATGCCTGAAGAGATTTTAGGTATCATTCATACATGTTTGAGATATTTAAAGGTCTCTCCGAGTCCCTATTCAAATTGTTTTTGCATTTAAGCGTCTACATCACCCATTCTCCCACACAGCAATTCTCCATAAATATACAAAAGCATGATACAAAACAATACACTTCAATTTCACAAGCCTGATGCAATGTGCCATAGTTTCATTAGCAGCCTGAAATTTAGCATTTTCAAGCACTAAAAAAGTAACATGGTGATTTAAATATGTTATGTGTTAGCAGTTAGTATCCCATAGAAGTACCCCATGACATCTGTTTCTCTGAAGTTATCCCAGTCTCTTCTCTTTTTTTTTTTAAGCTTATGATGATTTTGAAGAACCGTGGACTAGATGGGGCCCTAAGACTTACATGGAGGGTGCAGTCAGATGGACTTGTCTTCCATCGGGCCCATTGATAATCATCTATTTTTTTCTGAAAGAATTTGACTTCTGAAATTGCTGTTAATGTTTTTTTGATGATTTTAATGATTGATGACTTTTCTGGTTCTTTATATGAAGTGTGGATCAAACACTATTACTTTATACACCAATTTATTTCTATATGTCCCATGTGTTTGTTTACTTGTTTGATCAGAATATGCACCCCCTGTATCCCTCCATACTGGACAATTGTGATTTTACAGTCCTTAAATAATAAAATATAACAAATAATAATAATTAAAAAAATATACAGGATAAAAATACAATAAGCCAAACGTTATGTATAGATGTTTAGATTGCTTGTTATTGTGCATTGTAATGAAAATGTATTTTAAAAAATGAAAATATGTAAAAAAAAAAAAAAAAAAAAGATGTTTATTTACTTTGCGTGTCTGTAAAATAGTACATCAATAGATCATGTAATAGGAATATGGCAGTTTGTTTGAGATGTCAAAGAAAGTCAATACATTGTGGATTAACATGGAACATGGAATAGACTGATGTCCAAAATTACTTAAGAACATGCAAGAAATCAATCAAGTTCCTTTAATGAAAGGAAGCATAGCCTGTGTGTACATTTATTTTATGTTTTAAGACATACACTTATTAAGACTTCATTGTTGAAATATTATGATGTTATTTTCTTAATTTTTGTTCTCATAAAATTATGAGTTAAAATTAGATATTTTATGATACTTTTTAATGTGATTTTTACACTCCATGATAGGAAACCTTTTGTTTTGTACATTAAAGTTTTTAACAACTTGGGGACACTGGGGAAATTAACTGACAGTTCCTATACTCTGACATTTAGGGGTGCACAATCTAGCCTTTTCACTTCTGATGCCGATTCCGGTATTATGGCTTTAAGCATCTGCTGATACCCAATATCAACCAGTACCAACCAGTAATAAATAAAGACAGAAGTGACCCAAAGTGTTATGTTGCTGTTATTTATAAATAACTACAAACAGCTTTGCATACATAAAAGTTCAAACATTATGAGACATTCTGGGCCAGGTACAACCAGCAAATTGTCTTATTACATCAATTTAAATGTTCGAATAGGATATCGGCTGATTCGATATTTAGAAGCCGATATCTGATCCAGCAAATACTCCAGTATTGGTGCCATTATCTGATACGAGTATTGGATCCCTACTTGCTACTGTGGTGGGCATTAAGCTGTGTATAGTTTTGTTCTGTCTGTTAGAAATTTAAATAAATACAATATATTATGTCAAAAAAGAACAATAACACTCAAACACATTCCACAGGGGGGCTGCCCTCAACAGGACCCTTCATGCAGTGGAGTGTTCATACCATAGTTTATAGGTGGAATCTCTTCTGTGATAAGACAGAAAACTCCCTCTCACAGTGTTCAGACCATGTTGTTGAAGAATGGAAAGTTAATTGAAAAGTGACAAAAGGTCATTAATATCGAACACCACAATACTGTTTCTGAACCACACCTGGAGTCTGGAGTATATGTAAACAGTCTTTTGTAAAAGCAAAGTACAGATACTAAATCCAAAAATAAATAAGACAATAAATCACAAACCCTACCAAAGCTAAAGTTATTTCATGACTGCCTTTCTGTTTATAGGACTGCTTCACCACCTCAGTCACTGTCGCACACCATCTGAGAAAGGTATGGCCTATTTAACACTGATTCTGAACAAATAGATGGAAGGCCCGTGAAGAAGCCCTGTGTGCACATGATTCAAGTTACAGTCTGCGCGAAGGGGAAAACCCAAAGTCCACACATGCAAAGAAAGGGACAAAACACTTACTCGTTGCGCAAAGGTCCAGTGTACATGGTCTTCAGCACCACTTGTCCGAGTGTGGCATGATAACACAGGTAAACCTCCCCGAACCCCCCGTAGTCCAGAGGCTCCCGGACAATGAGGTCCGTGGACCGCATATGGAGCGAGGACTGGGGCGGAGGCGCTGCGGCCATCCCCAGCGAAGTCTGTAAAGTTACCAAAACAGCAAAAATAAGTTCACAAAAATACACATTGAAATCCAAAGTATTCAAACGACGTAAAGTTAGTAACTATATTCGCTCAATACAAAGAGGAAACGCTCCTAAGACCAGCGACATGCGTATGCGTGAAGACACAAGAAGTTTAAATTGCAGCAAAACTCGACTCATTTTACCTTTTATCCAAAACGAGAAATGAAAAGTGTAACAGTATTGATAATACTTGGTTAATAAACGGGTGACACGGGAAACTTGGTCTACTCCGCTACCAATCCAAGCTAGTTACTTTGTAGTTCCGGGATTTCCTCGACATCCTGCCTCAAAAGTGAAACCGGATTTTGAAAAAACTACAAAAAGGCTAGCAAGTCGGTAACAGATTAGGATGGCAAGTATATCTTGCATGCTGACAGCATGACATTTAGACAACTTCTAAACTAACTTTAAAAATAATAATAACGCATAAATAACAATAAATATAAGTTGACGCACGTCTTATGCACGCATAACTCATTTAATTTATTTGTTTAAATGAATTACAAGTTCAGTAAATTGCAGCTTCAAGAGTATCAGGACACCATATAATTTCTACTTTGTTCTCGTTGACCATAAGTCCATGTTGTTGACCAGTAGTTTTCAGAACAAACAGAGCGTCGCTGCTTTGGGCAAGCGCAATTGTATGGCGATATTGCCACCTGGTGGTGAAAAGTAGACATTGTTTATTTGAATTTTTCTTACTGTTACTGTACTTACTGTACTGTACGGTATTGTAAAAAAAAAAAAAAAAAACAACTCTTTTGCATCATCACAACTCTATATTATAGGCTTCATTCATTGATAAAACGTATTTATGTGAAACCAGAGCGGGAAAGTACCTGACACGTAGCCTACTCAGTGTGGGCAGACCTAGATAGTACGCTTACAGTGAATTCTTCATATTCACCCTGAAGCCACATCAAAGTGCAGCTGTATTTATACGGCTCGTACTGTCACTCTTCTCCGGTGTAGATTCCGGTAAATGACCCATAACATTTTGGACCTATGGTTCATGAGAAGAACCTGTTGACATTCACTAACAGCATGCAGTAAAAGATATTGCTGCCTATTTAATTTTAGTGGGTCAGAATTCTAATAAATACTTATAGATATGAGTAAATGGCACTCGGTTTAAATAAACACAAAGCCAAACAAAATATGCCAACATTTTAGGGTACTATTTGCGTTATAGAGACTTTAAAAGCGCATGTAACTTTAAAGGTGGATGTAACTTTTCCGTGGCGAGTCCACCACCTGCTTGTCTCTACTGAGAAGTTACTGCTTTACCTTTAGTGCTTCACTGTATAGCATTAAATAGATACATCTCCATATTACAGAGACAAGCAGGTGACGAGACCGGGCCAATTTACAAGTCAGATCTGTGGAAATGGGAGCTACTAAATTCATTGTAGTACAATAAATTTAAGATTGATTAGTTTAATGTCACACAGTGGAACATGCCAGGTAAAGCAAGACCATGAAGATAAGCACAACACGAAAACGTATTGTTTATTGCACCTTTAATGATTGTTCTTCTACTACTAGTACTACTACTACCGTCAAACTATTTTTGTTGGGTTATTATTGGTTGATGGCGAATATAGCCTTATAACAATGACATCATCTTGGTATGTGCGCTAGTCTAAATAGAGGGCAAAAATTCCTTTAAGCCTGCGCAAATCCACCGTGGCTTAAGTTTATTTAGGGATAACCACATGCTGCCATCAACCAAGGAGGCGCGGAGTATTCATATTCATCATAACTAAATATATCTGCTGCGTTTAAATCTCACCTGTAGGCAATTCTCTTCTCGCCAACTACATATCCCAGCATGCAACGATGTTTGTTTGGGCAAGTGGACGTAGAGCTTTTAGTTTGTGCGCTCTCTCCAGTGGCACAGAGCAGCGTGGAGAATCTGGGAACTTCAATAAATTAACTCCATGCATTGTGGCACTTAAACGAACAAAAACAAGCCAAATTTTAGAAGATTTTTTTTTTATTGCAATGGGGAATGGGATTAATAAGGTAAGGATTTGTTTATTTTTACGGTTTGCACGATGAGAGCACTTACTGTCATTTTCAGAGGTCTTCAACTGAACCATTGTTTGAACTAAAAGTAGCCAACGAACATACGACATTCTGTGTAGCAATAGTAAATTAGCCATGTGCTCTGTTAAAATTAGATTATTAAACTATTACCTAGCTATTACATTGCCAGGTGTATGGATGATAATACTGATGTATTTTCTAATATTGTGCCACTGTAGGTCCTCCCTGACTTGTACTTGGGAAATTTCCGAGGTTTGTACCCCTATTAGCATTGCTGCTTAAAGGTACTCTATGTAACTTTTCTGGTAACCATGTAGATATTATTTTGTATGAAATGTATGTATGAAAATAAATAAATAATAAATAAATACTACAACTACTACTACTACTACTACTACTACTACTACTACTACTAATAATAATAATAATAATACATTGGAAAACATGCATTCTTATTATGTGTGGGGTCATCTATCCATAGATTGGGCCTGTAAAGGGCTCGTGCATAGATTGTATAAATAAGTGGACTATGGGAGTCTGATGCCACCTATAGCATTTGTCTGCAGTCAAATGAAGCTTATGGAGGCTTGCTGTGATAGGGGCACATTTGGAGCTATATATCTATATTAGGAATAAAAATGTATTAATGGACAAAATAGCAAAATAAAAAAATCCTGCATCATGTCGAGCGGGTTAATACAAACCAAAATGATGAACACTTCCTATTTGAAATGGCTGGTGAGTTATGTCTACCAGTATTTATATACAGTCTATGGGCTGGTGGCATCAACTGCTTGTCAACACAAAGATAGATAAGTTCAATGCCATACTGTGGAACATGCCTGGAAAGCAGCTGGCATACCCTCCGCAACACAACTTATAATCATGCATTTTATATTTCCTTTTTTTCAGATGCAAGAGACAGAGAACAATTAGCCCGAAACAACATTACACACATTCTGTCCATTCATGACAATGCAGCTCCTTTACTCCCGGTAAGATTATAATGCGGCACACTTATTAGTATTTTCTCACTGAATTTATGTTAAGAAAACCTAAACCTTACATCGCACTACTGATTGTGCACTTTTTAGACCAGTCTGTCAGGTAGATCCAGGAGAGCTACCTCTGCGGTCTCTGCAATAGGAAGCTGTGTGTTGATTGAGTGAAAGCAGACGCAGGGCTCATGTGATACTTATCAGGAGAAATACCAGTCACCGGCAGCAGGCGATGAGCTGAAGTGTGGGCTCAGAGTTGGTTGCTTTGAGTGGGTGCTGCTTTTGCCTTATGAACTGTGCTCAGCCACTCATACTGGAAATATATGTATATATATCTACTGATTTTGCTGGGAAGATGTTTTCATTATCAAGCTTGGGTAGTTTGGATTTTCCCCACATATACAGTATTTCTGATCAATTTTCAAGCAAGTCACAGAGATTTTTTAGTGGTGGTGATTAAGGTCCTATATTATACAAAATGGACCCTTGTGAGCTTTTTGTCATGTTAGACCATTGTTACCTTCTCAAAATATCCGGCGTTCTGTTTTGTTTTGTTTCGTTCATGCATATATGTTTGAGTAATCCTTTATTATTAGTCATTTTGCATCACCCAATCTCAAAATGCTCAGTTCCACCTTGTGATGTCATGAAGCAGGAGTTTTCAACTTAACAGCTACTTTTTACCATTTGTTTAGTTGACAATTCTAGGGCTAAAATTATGCAAATGATTCTAGTGAAGGTCCATGGAGTTCAACAACACAGTGGAGTACTTCCTGTGTTACCATGTGGCATCACAAGGTAGGGCAGAGTGAACTGAGCGTAAATATGCAGGATTTGTGTGTTCAACTGTGTGATGTATTCTAGTCAGTGTTAGGTGAACAACTTGTGATGTCAACATCTCAAAGAAAGAATCTATGTATGTGCCTGGTGGAAATCAAACATTTTGCACTGATGAGGTATCAGGGATCCCGTATAATGGCAGTACATTTTAAAATAAGTTTAGTGATAATTCATTATATTAAAAAAATATTTTTTTTCTTTTGAGAAGTGTATTTTTGGCTGAGTGATACACTGAAACAAAACCCCCAGCAAACCTTGAGAAAGGTTTATGTTTTGACAAAATAGTATTAAAGAGCCCTACCAGTCGTTACTTATTTGTCTTCCTCAGGAGATGACCTATCTTTGCATTTCAGCAGCGGACCTGCCAACACAGAACCTGTGAGTACAGAACAGTCACACAAATATGACAAACTATAAAAGCTACTATACAAGTAACTATGAAACAGTTAACTACAAAAGCCAAAGCAGAGGATAGTGAAAGAAAAGGGATGGGGTTGGAGATGGAGGAGAGAGAGATACATTGTGACAGAGAGTGAGGTTCATATCAAGCAAATCATCTTCTGGCGTATGCTTCCATCAGATAAGATTACTGTAACATTACATGACCATTGTACTTTGCACGGGGCATTTAGTACTGACAAACTCAAACTTTCATGGCAAGTAACACAGAAACTAATATGTGAACAGGTCTGTAAATAGACATTATTATTATCATCACAGCTTGTGCGTTTTAGTAAAATAAAGTAAAACAATGAACATCTTAATATGTTTTGCCTTAATTTAGTAGTTCACTTTTTCAGATAGTAATAATAGGTCAGTGATTACAGCACTGCGCAGGTTTCGACTCAGGGAGATAAAAATGGAGGCCTGAAAACTTACGCTAAACTATAATAATGTAAGGCAGTAGCACTAGGGGATTGTGAGCTTTATGAATCTGAATGAACCTCTTATTCTCTTATTATTATTATGTTTTCCATTCATATAAAATTGTGTTGACTGTGTTTGAGAACAATTGCAGTTAACTTGAATAATAAAGTGCAGCCCAACATTTTGAGATGTAAATGACTGGCTAGTCACATGAACATTCTAAACATACCAGACTGGTGACATAGTACTAAAGATGTGTACTCTAAACCACCGCTAGACACTGCAGGTTAGCAAAGACCTTTAGTACAAAGGAAGTGCCTCTGTGCTATCTGCCGCTGTAGCGATGGTTGGTGCAAGCTTCTATTTTTATATGGCTCCACATAGTCACACATTAGGTTGCATGCTCTGACGCGCACACAGACACAACAGACACAAACACACACATGCACACTCACTTACATACACATACCTGTTGTCCATAGCAACCCAGTTGCTTTTTGCTTCTTACAACTTTGCTGGGACCCCAGTATGTGAAATGTGATACTGTGTTTTTAAAACACACCCTCAGTGGATACAAAGGAGTGGAAATGAAAACACAGTATAATTTACAGTATTGAATAACTGTATGCAGTGATATATTACAATAAGTTCTCGAAAATATTATCACATTTGCATTTTTTTTCATGAAATAAACTTGCATAAACTTGTGTAAACTTGATTGGTAAATTACAGAAACTATTTAGATGCAGTGCAAGAGCAAAGTGATTAAATTATAATAAAGTAATGCAATTAATAATACAAGATATGCTACATGTTTATTTTTGTTTTTCGTATACGGTACAATGGTCATTAAGTAATGTGTAACTTGTATGCCTGTCACAATAAAAAGAAGATGGAAGCACTATATAATTACTGTTGGCTGACTTGGGACAACAGATATATATATATTGTGCAAATTCTGTCATTTAAGGAAGCTGCTTGCTTGCAAATTGATTAATATGCACTGTCCTTATTCAAATCATAATGGAACTCTTCAGTCAATATTTGGTATCAATAAAGTGCCATATGTATCATGGTTCTTTCTGCATCTCAGTGTTACAAAAATAAGTTAAACTACCCCACTAGTGAAAATAAAAATACATATAAGCCCAAATATGATTAATCTGCAATTCATTTGAAAATAGGTCAACATTATAATCATTGTGACAGGCTTATGTATCAGTTCAGCATGCAAAATACAGTATGACACTTGCTAAAAACACGTTTGTGGATAAATACACAATATTGGTTCAAGCTAGCGTGTCTGACTATCAGTAATTCTCTCTTATGCTCTTCAGAATTCAGCACTTCAAACAAAGCATCAGGTTCATTCACGAGTCTCGTCTTAAAGGGGAAGGCTGCCTAGTACACTGGTAAGACCACTACTGTACTACTACTGTCAAAATCTATAGAAGATCAAATTAGGACAGCCCTGTTTATCTTGTGCACAGATGAGAGGTAATGATAAACAATAGACGATTAGAGCAGTTCTCAAAAGAGCAGTGACAATGGTGACCACATTTTGTGCAGTGGCCGTATGAGCTCTGGGGAAGGTTATATTTAGCGTCACTGTGGCTTCTCTGAAAATAAAGAGGAACAAAGTGTAACTGAGAGATTTTTACCATTATGGTCAAAACATTAACCATCTCTATGCTTAGAACTTGGTATGTTTGCACTAATTTTGATAAGTTTAGCTCTAGATTCTTATAGGGAACTGATTATAATTTGGCACGACATTTCTTCCTTGTTTCAAGATGATTAAGCTCGTATGAGAACAAATGTACCAATGGGGTGTGTGTGTGCGTATAATCACTATATATATGAGAAACTGTTAAGCTTGGTTGATATTTTTGGCATTATCTATGGACAATTTTGATATTTTTTCCCAAATTGTTGACTTTGAATATACTACAAACTCATCCACAACTCTATTTCACAACAAACTGGATAAAAGAGCAGTGTTTTGTGCATTTTAGACTTAGACTTAGACAAACTTTATTGATCTACAAGAGAAATTATTTGGACACACAGTAGCTCACACATCACAATATAATATACTAACAAAGAGTAAAAAGTATAAATGGTAATAATAAATTCTAAATTAGTAACAAAAAAGATAGCAAGAGACAGGTGTAAAATAAGACATAATTATATAAATTTAAATGTACAAGTCAAAATAAAATAAAAAGAGAAGTAATAAAATATAAAATCACAGCTTTACATGAGGTCACAGGAAGAATTGCAACATTGATATGGTAATTGACAGAACATATAGTTATCTGTTACATTAGGGTGAGTTGTACGGTTGTAGGGAGTATTATCTGTTACATAAGGGTGAGTCGTTGTGCATTTGTAGGGAGTATTATATGTTACATAAGGTTGACTTGTTGTGCAGTTGTATGGAGTATGATATGCTGTAGTCCTGTATCTCTCAGGGGTGTTTGAGTGGAGCTGTAGGAGCCTGTTGGAGAATGAGCTCCTCTGTCCCTCTATAGTGTGGTGCAGTGGGTGAGTTGCTGTACAGTTGTAGGGAGTATTATCTGTCCCTCTGTAGCGTGTTGCAGTGGGTGAGCAGAAGGGTCCATGATGGAGAGCAGTTTGTCCAGTGTCCTCCTGTCCCTCACTGTGACAGATGTCTCCAGCTCACAGCCAATCATGTGACCAGCTTTACAGATCAATTTGTCAATCCGCCCAATATCCCTTTTACTGATGCTGCTCCCCCAGCAGACCACAGTGAAGTACAGGGCGCTGGCCACCACAGACTGGTAGAAGATTGTAACTTGCTGCACACATTGAAAGACCTGGAAGTAGAGTCTACCAATGCCCTTCTTGTACACAGCATTTCAGTTGTCCCTCCAGTCCAGTCTGCTGGACGCCAAGGTACTTGTAGCAGTCCACTATTTCCATGACATGGCCCTGGATGGTGACAGGCTCCACTGGTATCCTATTTCTCCTGAAGTCAGTCACCAGTTCCTTGGTCGAGTCAACGTTCAAGAGCAGATGGTCTGCCTGGGACCACTCCTCTTTGCACTAATGTTTAAATGAAGCTTTATGCATAGTCTTTAGGCAGCTGGTCAGCCGCCCCAAAAATTGGCTACTGGAGATTATATTTACAGAATATGAAACTATTTTTTGTAGCTGTGTCGTAATATCAGTGACTAGTGTGTAGAAGTATGTGTAGTATTTTGTAGTAGTAATATTAGTATGTATACTGATGCATCGTCTTACTTTTTATAAACCACTGGGGATGGGACAAAATCTCATGCCACAAGTTTATGAGAAGAATTTGAGATTTCTTTCTCTCATCTGTTTAGTTTTGGATTTGGAAAAAAATGGTTAAGGTGCTGGTCAATTACACTTCATGAGATGCTGTGCAAAAAGCAGTGCTACGATGAGAGCACAATAAAATACAGTAGATCAAATGGGACCAAAATTGTGATCTGAACTGCACTATTTATTTTTATTATAAATTATGTCAAAATCTTGTCTTGTTCTCGTGGACCAAATCTTGTGTTTCTTGTGGAAATTGTGTCTCATTCACCCTTACTGACACTTTGCAGCTGATGTCATCAACATTCCCAGGGGATGTGATGCCAACTGTAAGCACTACTCTGTTTGAAACTCTCTTACTCAAATTAGACTTTAATCTGAGCTTTGTTTTAACACAATCTAACTATAAAGAGCTGATATAGCTGGAACTACTGATTTGTGCTGTCAAAAAAGTCTCGCACACATAAAATTACAAAAACTGAAACCACAATTATTATAAAAAGTTAGTGAGCATTAGCCAACACTTTTTCAGTTAGTCACTATCACCCTCTTGTTAAAAATCAAACTCCAAACAGGACCTTGAATGCTCATATTGATCATAGGCTCCTAAAAAAAGTGTTGACTAAATCCAAGTTGTATTTCCTCTTGTATCAATAAATGTATAAATAAAAGTATTAATAAACCTCTGGTGCTTTTTAACCATTACTGTATTACCATTTGACTTCTTTCCATCTCTGTGCCCAGTCTGGCCGGAGTGTCCCGCAGCGTGACTCTGGTGGTGGCGTACCTCATGACGGTGAGCGGGTTGGGCTGGCAGGACGCTCTGGCCGTGGTCAGAGTGGTCCGGCCCACCGCTGGCCCAAACGTCGGCTTCCAACGGCAGCTCCAGGAATTCCAGGACAAACAGGCAGAACAGGTCAAAAGACCAAAGCATCAGCATCAGAATATTATACTTTAAAAAGTCACAAGTTAATAGATGCACAGTGGGATTCTCTTACACTTGCAGATGGTGTGTATTAAAGTGTACACAGTCAGTTGCAATAATGTAATATTTGTTTAGAATTATGATAAAGGGTAGGTTGCCTGATTCATCAGCCAGTTTCACTTCATTTCACTTCTTAGAAACCATTGGACCTTGCAGTGTTAAAATTCGTTCGTTCGACGGTAGGCGGGTACTTTTTATCATTTAACCAATCGCTGCTCTTTGGTAGTCATGTATGTAATGTACTGCTAACGTGACTAACTGGTATATTAAGCTTTTCCCAGATCCTGTAGGAAGAAGGACAATAATGTCTTTCACCTTGATAAAATTCACCAAACATTCTCATTTTTCCGGCTCTTTGCTGATTGGCTGGTGCCCGAACTTGCACTTCTGGGGTTTTTGCGAACTGTCTATTGTATTTTGATTTCTGACCTAGTCGCTGGAGAGAAATGAAACTGAGTGGAGGCACTAGGTGGCACCAGCCTGGCTGCTGAAGAAATTCTAGAGACGATAAATGTTTAAACTACTTTATGCCACTGATTCAATAACCCAAGAGCAGATTTAACCACAAAATCTATTCTAAATCTACAGTACTGTTAAAACCATGAGCTGCGATAGATAATTAGCAGAATTAAACACTTAAGTGCTTAGTTTGCATATGTAAGGATGCTCAAATCTTATCCTAAAGCAAAAAATAAACAAACATTTCCCATTAGTGTAGAGACAATGTACACAAGATAAATATTGACATCCCAAAAAATATCATTCCATCTGTCATGTATGGAATGATGAGTCAATATAGTAATTATTGACAGGCCTAGCAAAGGGAATAGGCGGAGCTAATATGTTTCGGGTCTGTCCCACTCACAAAAATTCTAGTCCAAATAGGCTGCATATCACTTAATCCTATCTGATTTGCCTTTGCTTATTGTTGGTTTGCCTGGAATGTTCCACAGTATTTTTCAGGCATTTTTTCAACTGCATGTTTTTACTCTGACCTGTAACTTGAGCTGTTTTTCTCCATTGGATGACATAATGTAGAATATTCCAGGCAAAACAATATAATCTCCACGGAGACAAGCAGATGGTAAACTCTCCAACAGAAAAGTTACATAGTGTTCCTTTAACAGCTGTGCATTGCATTTCAGTGCATGTCTAATCAATAAGCATTTGAGGAAAATAAATCCTACATCTACCATTCAACTTAAATTTAAAATGATTTTGATTTTTGCTTTCAGTTTCAGAATGATGAAAAATTAGGGCCGTTTCCATAGCAATCAACAATTCAAAACAAACAAAATATTGGATCTTTTGAATGATTGTCTGTCCTCAAAACGGTACCATATAACAGGAAGCTGAAACCCAACCCTATATTTGCTACTTTAGAATGATATTTTTAAATGTGAATAAACTGGAATTTTAAAACTTGAATAAACTGGTTTTGTTTTGTTGCAGTTCAGGGAATGGTTCTACACGGAGTATAAGGACAACCCACTAAACAACGAGGCTGATATTAGAGACTTATTATTGAGAGTGCCCAAAGTGAATGGTGAAGTCCAAGAAGAGACCACATCTGAACAAATATGACTTCACACATGACTGAGATGCAGCAAAAAAACTACTCTCACAATGAACTCAGCGGATGGACTCACAGCATTACAAAGAACAACGTTATTTATTCTGTGCAAATTGTATCTATTTGTCATTGTATAATATATTTGTTAAGAAAAAGAGGTTTTGAGTGTGTTGTGTTTTGTGGGGGCTTCCATGCTGAACGTGATAAGGCTGTGTGCACCTCTGTCTGCTGGTGCTTCCTGTTTATCTTATGTGCTTGAGAATTCATGCATGACATCTACAAAATACTGTACAGTCTTAAATGTTCTGTTAATTCAATCATTTGGTATGGACAAATATATGTTTACATTAAAAGTATAGGCTAAGAGTACACATAAACATCACTGTGACCGGTAATAGCAATAGACTATAATATAGAACTGTATATACCAGTAGTACTTATACTACTACTACTACTATATAGTCTATGGTAATAAGCTTTAATGTATCATGTTTAAAATGTCCCAGCACTGCACCAAGAATAAAAGACCAAGACTAAAGAAATTACTGGTTCTGTTATGGCAATTCAATTTCATGTGTAAATCATGGTTGATTTAAGGACCTTGCAGCGAATGCTATAGTATTTTGAAGAAATTAGATTTGCTAACAGTTATTGAATGTTGTTGTTCATGTCCATCCCTGTGTGCAGCTGAAGGTGCAGTATGGGTGGAGGGTTTGCTACCGGTCTATCTCCATAGAGAAGTTTTTGCTTTGCCTGGAATGTTCCACAGTATTGCTTTAAACTTATTTGTATTACATTTATTCAGTTACATGTGTTCTTATCATTCAAATATATCTTGAACAGTATGTCTCCACAGACCTCACCTGTAACTTTGCTTAGTCACCTGATTGTCATCATGGACAGCCTGTGGAACACTGTAGCAAAAGCAACTCCATGGAGAAAAGCAGCTGATGTACCCACCACCAGAAAAGTTGCTTACTATGCAAGATACATAAAACCTCTGCTGGGGGATCTGTCATTTCTTTGTCTCAGCAGATCTGACTGGTGGCCAAGTCAGATCTGTGGAACGGTGACCCTGCTTTCAATGAGAATGCTTGTCTTTCCAGATATTTTTCAGCAATAAATGAACACTTGTAATGAAGGCATACATTTACGGTACACATAAGAACATTTCAGGCAAAGAAATACAATCTCCATGGAGACAAGCGGGTGGCACAACCTCCATAAGAAAAGTTACTCAGTGCACATTTAACTTCATTGTTAGATGTTTCTTTTCCCTAGACCAGTCTCTAACCTGTAGCTCAGGACTTACCAGTAGCTCTCCACCCTCTTTCAAGTCGCTCGTCAAGGGATTTCTGAATATAAGCATTGTGCTGAAAAAGTAAAATTTGATTAATTAAATGCCTATGACCATTGTACACTGATGCCTAACTTTGTGCACTAATAAATGGACAATGGTTTCTGTTTTATAGACATCTAACTGTACCCCAAGGCTCTCCCTCTTTCTTATAATCATCTCAATTTCTTGTGACCGCTAAAACTAGTAGCTCTCTGGCATTTTCGTTTTGTAAAAGTGGTTCACTAGAGGAATAAGGTTGGAGACCCCTGCCCAAGGCTCAAACCTTGCCAACATACTGTAGTCATGTTTGCTTGATGTTCTCATAATTAACCTCATGAGGGCAGTGTAATCAATTAAGAGTTGAGAACTTTTTGTGCACGTCGTACTCTCGGGCACAACCTCAAACGTAGCAGCCTTCATGTCATGTACGCAGACGCACAGGACGTGGCTAGACGATAACCAAAGCCCGGGCTGCTGCTGCTGCTGCTGACTTTGTTTATGCAGAAAAGCAATGGAATAAGAAAACGACAAAACAAGCGTCTGTTCCATTCAGGGTAGTTCTCCGGGGCAGAGGGATTCCCCGTCACTGCGCTGCGCTGTGTGGGCGCTCTGGCTTCACAGAAATGAGCGTCTCCAGTTTGAACTTCTCCCTGGCTCCTCCTCCCGATTACGATTCAAGTGATAACATTTAAGAAAAGAGCTCACGGACCATAGGGTTAATAAGTCAGGGTCTTCTCAAGTACAACAGGTAAGCAATCACAATTATAACAAACCTTCATATCAACAAATATTCAATTAAATCTATTTTTATTTATGTACAAATTGAATACTTGTACTGAATGGTTCTGTTTTGGCAACTCAATTTCACGTGTAAAGCATGGTCGAGTTAAGAACATGGCAGCGAATGGAGAAGTATTTTTTTTTTTCATGTATAATAATTTTTGTGCTAAATAAAAACAGAACATTGCACCATGGCGTGTCATAGCCTAACGCTTTTTATAAACGGGTGTGCAGAAGTCACTTAACATATATATACCGTCAGAATTGTGGCTTGAAGGGTTAGTACTTCAGAGCAAGACACGTTTCTGATAGCAAATTTATGTTTTTTTTTTTGTTTGTTTTTTTTTTTTTGGTTTTTTTTGAGAATTGCAATCCTCATTTTGGATAATTTTACTAAATATTTGACATTTTAATATGATTTTTAAGGGCAACATGGAAGAGGACAGCCTATCAGTCAGCTGTGGTAATGGCAAACTCAGACAGTGGCTGATTGACCAAATAGACAGCGGGAGGTATCCAGGCCTGGTTTGGGAAAATGATGAGAAAACCATATTTCGGATTCCATGGAAACATGCTGGGAAGCAGGATTACAACCGGGAAGAGGATGCTGCCCTGTTTAAGGTATAGCTCATCTGTAAAACTACACGATGACTATTTGATTTTATATAATTTAAGTTTTTAAAATATTTTTGTTATTGTTGTCGCAGGCATGGGCTCTGTTCAAAGGGAAATTTAAAGAAGGTGTGGATAAGCCGGACCCTCCGACGTGGAAAACCAGATTACGCTGTGCTCTTAATAAAAGCAACGATTTTGACGAGCTGGTAGAGAGGAGCCAGCTAGACATTTCAGAACCTTATAAGGTCTACAGAATCATACCAGAGGGAGCTAAGAAAGGTACGTTTACAATATAAAATACAGAAGATAATGTATAACAAATGTATAAAAGAAGAGTAGTGTGTATTCTGGATCCCAATTGTAATTGTGCGTCAAAGTTTCAAAAACAAAAAAACTGAAACCACAAAATCTATTTAATTGGCTCTTGAAATTGACCTACTAATCTTATATCTTAAATTCCTTTCAACTGACAACAGGTCTTTGTAACTGAGCAATGCCACCACATTTTGAAGCTACTACAAGAATAAAAAATGTACACTAAGAGGAAAGATGTTAAACATAGTGACAGTTTTTGTTTCAAGTGGACAGGCCCAGTAATTACAGAGATGTTAACCATAAACCAGGTGAAAACATCTGAAATTTTCCTATAGCCACTGAAATAAAAGCTTTATATCATCAGTCATCAGTATAAAACTAAAGACAACACAAAAACATGGTGCGAAAACATTTAGAATTCTTCGTTGTAGTTGTTAAAATGGGGTAGAAAATGACTGAAGCATTGAAATACTTTACACAATTTGCCTGTCTTGCCATGCATGACTGGTGCTGGTTGCTGGTTTACTATAGACATTTACACATATGCAGTGCAGCGCTGTGATGCGGCAGGAAGCACAAAGGAAGCCAGTGCATGTAGAAAAAAGACCTAGTGCTTTTTATAGGGGGCTTCGGTTACCAGTGCAGAGTGCAAAATGTGTTGAATTGGCCAGTAGATATGCACTATAATGTTATTGTTCTTGCATTTAATTGAGGAACAGTTTGTTTTAAGCTCGCACAACATTACATCTGCTGTTTGAAATTAAAATATGTAAAGGATGCATGAAGTGTAAGCATTTTTGATAATCTTTGTATTTTTTTAAATTTATTTTAGGATTGAAAATGACCAGTCTGGAGGAGAGTTCACATCTTAGCTATTATCCTGCATATTCTTCATTGCAAAACCAGGTCGGTCAGTAGGCCTGTCACAATAACAAACTCACAGTAACAAACTTTGAAGCATGAGAACTACTGCAATAAACGATAATAATAGAATCACTTAGAATTTATAGTATCATTATCAAGACATGAGAAAGTTTTATTCTACTCTCCACTGCTCAAATCTTACGTTATTACATAAAAATGGCAAAAATCTCCCCACTTTTGCAAAGAAACTGTACATACGAAAAATATTGAGTGCCAAAATATATTATATTAAGTCGATATAACTCTAGTACAGTATAAGTTATGCACTTCTTACTTTCAAATATTGGACATGTGCTCAAAAAGGTCATATTAAAGATGTTACAATGGACTTCCTACAATTCACACTATGCAACCACTAGGCAAACCACTCCACAATCATAAATACATTCTATATTTATTTTCACATATTTTTCACACCCGCTGCCAAGTGTCTTGTGTCGTAATCTGAAGTTGTTTGTGTTAACTGCCACAGGTGACCAGTTACATGGAGCGGAGAGACTGGAGAGACTTTGCTTCTTCTGACCAGCAGTCTCTTCCTCCTCCTCCACCTCCTCATCATCACGATCTGCAGTACCACTACCCATCATCCCTCAGCCGGCCCTGGCCCACAGCACACTCAGAGAATGGTAAAAACTGTAGTACAAATGGTGGCAACATGTTTAGGAAATATGTAGGTTCATTTGAATTTTAATAAAGTCTGTCAATATATCTTTTTTAAGTTAAAGCATTGTTTGTGTTTTTTGGTTTTTTTTGTAATACTTTCCAAAACATAACTTGACACATTGTCTTTTCCTAGGCTTCCAGCTCTCCTTCCATACATACCTATCAGATACCCAACCACCTATCTATGCAATGGACCCTAACTCTATGACCGGTAAAACATCACACCATCTTATACATTTAGAGATTTTTAACACAGTAATTAACACACTCCGATCTGGAATCTGAAAGTAGTGAAACGTGCTTATAAATTCATTGCGGTGAATAATTAGAATGCTATTTATGCCAAGGGTAAATGAGGAATAGTTTGGGACCACTGCAAGCTGTTTAAAACAGTAAAAATTAGGTACCTTTCCTTCCTTGATTTTCAGATTTCAGCCTACACGTCTCCCTCTTCTACCGAGAGTCCCTGGTGAAAGAAGTGACCACCATTAACCCAGAAGGATGCCGTATCTCCTCTTCGGCCTCCTCCTCTTCCTCCTCCCCGTCCTCCTCCCCTCATCCGGACGACCGCCTCTCCATGGGTCCAGAGGTCATCCTGTTCCCCTTCCCGTACCCCGAGTCCCACAGACAGGGGGCAGACATGCTCCCTAGCGTCCTGGAGAAAGGGGTGCTGTTGTGGATGGCGCCTGATGGGATGTACGCCAAACGCCTGTGTCAGAGCAGGGTGTACTGGGAGGGACCGCTGGCTCCTTACACGGACAAACCCAACAAACTGGAGAAGGAGCAGCCCTGCAAACTGTTTGACACTCAGCAGTTTCTAATAGGTAAGTGCTGTTAAACTCACGGGCATACTAGGGGTTTCAAAAGTATTGAAAATACAAAAACTCATTTAGAAACTAGATACTCATTAGAACAGGTATTGATTCTTAAAAAAAAGTCACATTCACACAAAAGAAATGAACCTTTCCTGCAGAGCTTTAGAATGACCTTGAGCTGTATCAGAACAAGTATAAGAGCACATAGACTAGTATACGCCCATGGACCACTATAGAACCTACCTGGATAACAGAGGGGATTACACAGATATAAGACTACATGATGATATTTGTTATATATTATTTTTACTCTTATTTAATGTTGAACATCTCATTGTATTGTCTATTGTATTATCATCGTAGTATCAGAATTGGTATTGAGTATCAAGTCTATTCTCTAGTATCAAAAATCAAGTTTGAAATTTCAGCATCATGACGACACTATGGTTTGCTTGATAATGTGATGAATACTGTATGCTAAACTTTTGTATTAGTTTTTTTTCAGTAGAAAAACAAAATATATAATATATTACTACTATAGAAGAAGAAGAAGTTGCATTTAAGTGAGATGCAGTTTAAAAGCCTCATAACACATTACAATCACTGAACTGCTGAAATAACATTTCCTTTAAAGCAAATTAAACTGCCACTGCTGTCCATTCATGTACTTTCTACTGGAAACAAAGGAATTTTGTATGTACAGAAATTAGTGCTCAATAACTTTTTAAATTGAGCATGCATTAAACAAAGCTAAATAAAAGTGATGTACTAAGGGCATCTAAAGTTACTTTTAAAAATAGACAGTTCATAATATATCTAAATGGAAAATATTCCAGCACAAAATACATAATAATGATCAAAACATTAGTTTAACGTATTTCTGCTCATTTGCATGTGAGTGATCATGAAGTGTGACATTTCCAACTGTCTTATACATTGAGACACTTCCTACAGGCCTATTTCCTGTCCTGTCAAATAAGTTCCATACTTTTATGTCTAATGTGGTGAATAAAATACTGAAGTTTGATTCTGGTGCAGTTTGTGGGTAAGTCCCATAGGAGCACAGAGGCTGTTATCTTGGGAGCGGGTGTGTGGAGTCCCCACCCACCTGCTGTGGTGCACCACATGTGACATATGACATGAGTCGTGTTTTTGTGCCATTTCACTGAAATTTCCACCAGATTTACCAGTAGTTTCCAGACGATATATCCAAGTGTGAGAGAAAAATATGTTTAGCTTTAATATGGCTAAATAGTCTATTCTCTGTTATTGTTGTAGAGCTTCATGAGTATGTGCACAATGGACGCTCTCCTCCACGACACCAGATTGTGCTGTGCTTCGGAGACGAGTATCCAGACCCACAGCGCTCCAGGAAAATGATCACAGCACAGGTACGCTGGAAAATCTCTTTTACTGTTACAAATTGTATTCTTAATCATTTTAACTTAAGCTTATATAGTTTTGTCTACATACAGCTCTGCCTAGGCCTCTTGGCCATCTTGAACATTTTACCTGGTTTTAAAACAAATCTAAATCAAAATGTTGTGTACATACGTTATTCGTTTATATTTATTTATTTATATTTTTAGAATTTTTATTCTACTGCTGTAGCAGAATTGTAACTTCTCCAGTGGGGGACAAACACAAGTTCTCTTGTCTAATTTCATCATGATTTATATTTTCATGATGGCATGAATTATACACTCCAAATGACCACCGCGTGTATTTACACATGCATGCACAGTGGGAAGCATCAAAATTACATCCAGACATAGAGACCTTTGTACATCAGAAGTTGTGTTTGTCACTGATGGTACTTTGATGTTGTGCTTTGTGCATGTAATAACTATATCACTTTGATTCCTCTTCAGGTGGAGCCAGTATTTGCCAGAAAACTGCTGTTCTACTATCATCAGAACAATGGTCACTATCTGCGTACCTACGACCACAACCAGCAACCCAACCCCTCTCCAGCCTCGGACTACTCTTCCCAGAGACCTTTGCAGCACATTCAGGAATAACTTCATTGTACTTCTTCTACAAGTATGACTTGATGGAGCCATAAGACTGCATGTTATAAACTTGAACTGCTGAAAGGGGGTGTAGAGGGGGAGACCCTGATGCTACAGTGGTATGAATTGTCTGTCTGGCTGATTTTGAAGTAGTGGTATTTTTTTGGTACTTGTGTAGTATTCTTGTGACGGTGTGAAGGATGCGGTTTTGAGGCTGGGGGTACGAGGAGAGCGGAGGGCCACCGAGACAGGAAGTACTAGCACAGGTGCACAGGAAGAGTGGCCCTACAAGCTCTGAGATGACAAAAAGATAAACATGCTTCAGAGCTAAGGCACATTCAGAAATAGCAATTACATGCTGTTTAATAAAGCTAAGGGTACTTGACCTATGCTTGTAAATTAGTACATTTTGTTTGTGTATTGCATAAAAAATCCAGACTGAAATGTATAGGTTTTGCAGTCTAGTCACTTCTTTCAATGAATTTCAGGCCAAACTCAGCCAAGCAAGGAGATTTCTTACTTTTTTTGACATATCAGATCAAAGCTCATTAGTCATCTGTCACTTTCAACAAAATCAAACTTTGCTAGTTCTGCAGAGGTCAGTGCTGTTTTAGATCTCTTGTCTATCTTTTATTTATTTTTGGAGGGCCTTTTTTTTTTACACATAAACCGTCATATTTGTCTGGATATCCACCTATCAGTCTCACTCATCTGAACTCTGGGAGGTAAGATCAGGGCCTGGACTGTAGTTGTTTGTACAGTATAAGCAGTAAAGGCTTGTTGTCTTGGTTGGTAAGATTACACTGTAAAAGCACCGCTGATGTGTCGCTAAAATGTGTTTTTGGTCTTGGTGTCTGAAAAAGCTGTTCTAAAGTGCCTCAAAATATCATGTGTGTGATGTGAATAATAGCATTGTGCCAAAGCGTTTGTGAGTCCAGCTGTAAGTAGCTTTACAAAGTCAGTCAATAATAACTCAGTGAAGTGGTATGTTTGCATGAAAAGAATTGCGTTATTTTTCATAAGAATATATTCTGTACTGACATCAGTTCAAAACTGAGGAACTGTGGTCTAATGAATTATACTTGGACTGACTCAGGTTTCATGCTTGAGACGTTCTTGAAAAATAAAAACTTGAATTGTAGATTCTTTATGGAATTGGTGGTTTTCAGATTCTAGAATCTGATTATATCCGTTTCCAAAAGGGGGTAAGAGCCACTTTTCCCTTTTGATTGTATTCTCATGCAATGAACCAGATATCTCTATTAGTGACTGACTAAACCAAGGAACCTGCTATATTACAAAAAACAAAACAATAAAAAAATGCATTTTAACACTGATGTCAACTGCCCTACATCTGTATGAAATATTATTGATCTTTAAAATGTTAAGATAATGTTTGAAACCCAGCAGTGGCAGTTAACGATAAACAGCATTCGAAAAAATGATTCTGAAAATTTTGAAGAGATCGGCCTTTGCAACGAATTTGAGACTTTTATTTTCAAAACCTTTGCTTTATCTACAATTAGCCCTCAGTGAGGGAACTGAAATGGAAAATAATACTCATCCCAAAACTTACAGGTAGAAGGTCCCTGTTCCTCTTGACCTGAAACTACCAGAGCCTCAATCAGGAATTAAAACTATTGCGGTTTGTGCTTTGGTTTGACTGAGGTGGAGTTTAATTCTGTACTCCGAGAAATGGGCACCACTTCTCAATCATGAATACTCAAGACATGCGATAGAATAATAGTCTTGAATCTGTGTGTTGGTTAGTTTTCAAAAGCCATCATGATAATAGTGTTGTGAGTGCATTTTGGGAGTAACTGGCTGTGTAATTTAGTTTTTACTATTTGACAGGTGGACTCTAAATGAGGAACGTTTTGTAAAACAGCATTTTGTTTTTTCATTTATTTAATGTTTTAAAGAGATTCTGAAGTAGTTTTGTGGCTGACTATTTTATTGTCAATGTTTTTTCAAGTTTAAGTTTTTAATAATTTAATTGTTTTTTTGTTTGTTTGGTTGGTTTTTTTTGTTGTTGTTGTTTTTTTGTTTTTTTTTACCAAGTTTTAAGTTAAAAGTGATTTTGATCAATTAACTGAACACCATGATTGATATTAGGCCTAAACCTATCAAATAAGATTTACTGTACATAAGGTTATGCTTTTTCTTGTACATATAAACCAGTGACACTTCATGATCTTGTCAGTGCCTTTATGTTTTAATTACATTTTGTGCCAACTGGTCAAAAGTTCAATCAAATGTTTTGGTACTCATGCGTCTGAAGGGAGAAGCTAACTACTCTGAAACTATCACACCCTAGTTGATGACAGTAAGGACTACCTGTTATATTTTTGGCAGATGTAAGGCAGTGGCCAGAACCTTGTCAGAACTGAAGAAGCTATTTGAATGAGTGTCAAAAAGGGTGTACAGTCAGTGGCCTTTAAACCTTATCTTGAGTACATTTGCTTTGACATTTCAAGTTTTAGAACTTATTGGCAGAAGTGCTTGTGAGGTCTGGGCTTAGCACACATCTACTTAAAAAACAAAACAAAAACAAAAGTTAGGGTTAGCAATGTGTTATAAGTATGCATTTGTAAAGAACGCAGAAATGCACAGAACTAGTCTGATGATGATTAATAGACTTAAAAACAACACAGGAGACCTCCAGATCTCTACCTATAATGTCTGGAATTTTTTGTGTGTTTTTTGAGTGCTCTGGGGGCGTAGATTTGCTAAAGAGGAAATACAGACCCAGCTATGTTTTTGGTGAGGGAACATAAACATTAAAAGTTGAAACATGGTAAAAATCTCAAAAAAGTTCATTTTGCATAATATGTGTCCTTCAAAAACATTTATCCTTGTGACAGAAACTTTTGACCATGTGACAAATTTCTTTTGTGATGGAACCTACCTGGACGACTGAGGACTGACACAGACATTTGTCGTGAGCTTCAATCCCAGCTGGGAGCATTCAGAGGATCCTGCTGTTCATGTTTGTGGTCCGCAGTTTCGATAGGTGCCTCAACTTCCCTCACACGTCAACCACATCACTTTCACAACACAAAATTTTACCAAAATCACACACAGGAATGAAAAGTCATAGCTTCTTCCCCCATTAAGACCCCATATTATGCAACTGATGAGTGGACTTGGGAGATTTACTTCACTATGTAACTGTTCTGATTGTTAGAGAAATTCTGTTTCTTCTGTGCTGTACTGAGGGCACTCACTGCCAGCTTTTCTAAATCAGAGTTATAATACTCCCTACAACAGAATCAGAGCCACCCTGGACTGCAATAGACTGGGATGGACCTCACTACCACAGTGTCTTGAGGGTTCATGTCGCCTTGTTCTGTACTGATGGTCAAGAAAAGCATCACGCCTCTTCTCTTCAACTCTCAGGGTACAAGTTACAGGTCTGATCTGTGGAGCAGAGAGGCCACCCTCACTGACACATACCTAGATAACATCGCTATACATTTTATATGATTGTAAAGGTCCGATATGATGCAAAATGAACTCTTGTGATCTTTAAACTATGTTAGAATGTTGTCATGTAGCAGTGGTTTTCAAGTTATTAACTACTTATTTTGCCTTTTGTTTACTAGAAATGGGCAATTCCAGAGCTGAAATTATCTAAATGATTCTAATGAAGGTATATAGAGTTTTAAAACACAGTGGAGCACTTCCTGTGTTATTACATGACATCACATGTTTTCTGCTTGAGAGGAGGAATATGCAGGGTTTTGTGTTAGTCAGCCTAAATATGCAGGGTTTGTGTGATGTGCGAATGAAACAAAACACAACTCCGGGTATGTTTTTGATGAGGGAACAACATTATAACACAGATCAGAAAATAGCACAATCCTTTACGGAGCCAAAACCAGCCTGTAGCTTGTGTGACAAGTCGAGCTGTGTAGGAGTGAACATGTGCGTGACAGTTACTTTATGACTGTTATCAGAATTTGACATTTGTGGACCTGTAGGATCAAACATGCAGCACCCACACACATCACCAGTTACACCAAAAACTACACATTAACCTCTCTATTATCAAAAGTCACATTCAACCACTTCTGAAAAACTCATTTCATGAAATCTGATTCATTTTATGTTTACTATAAAATACTTCTTCACCAGTCACCAACTTCTTGACGCCTGAATTTGGTGGAGAGTTCGCCTCCTTGGAGATATTTTGACTTTGTGTGAAACGTAACACAGTGTGGCTCTAAACATACTGTATCTTTCTCCATGAAGACAAGCAAATGATAATAATATGATTGACAATTAATATAACTGAATGAATGCAAGATACTTAAGTTTAAACACACAGAATGTAACTTTTTTACTGCAGAGTCCTCAACTTGCTTGTCTTAATGACTATATCTCCATGGAGATCAGCAGGCTAAAATCACAGGTCAGATCTGTGGAGAGGTAAGTCTGGTGATTGGAATCATTTTCAGAGCGTATTTTGGCAACAAAAAACGCCTGTAATTGAATAAAGACAATACAGATAATTGAAATGTAGGTTCAGGTGATTTCATTGCTGGTAGGTAGCTGTAATTGCAGTGTTGAAACAGGTTGATGTTCTGTTAAAAACATTAAAGCGGACCAGATTGCATCAGTCATTTTTAACTTTCACTAATAATACTGCACCCTGTTACAAACAATAGACCTATTTAATGTTTCTTGTTATATTTAGACTAATGGAGGGGGAAATGGAAATGACTCAGTGAATAAAAACTACTTATGACTATTCGATAGTTTTTGTATAGGAAACCTTTCACGTAGCCTCAGCTGCTTCACAATGTTTGTCTTATTTTTTTCCGTTGGCCAAAGCAGACAGCGTTCACTGAGGGTCTGCGCACTAATAATAGTCAGTTTGTCTCCGATACAGCCACAGTCTTACAGAGAAGTGAAAGTACAGTTTTCACCAAAGAAAGGCTGCTAGAAATCCATGTTTCAACATTACACAACGAGTATGACTCACTGTTTTATTTTAACTGGAAAAAAAAATCCAAGAGAAGACGGGAAGTTTGTTTTAGTAAAATACATCACGGGCTTGATAGAAAATACACATGTACACAGACTACAATATTTAACTCTCGTGAGCATCAGTATGAACATAAGAAAAATAAACTGAAACGCGTTGTTTAAGAATAGTAAAATGTTTAATAATTTCTTCTCTCTTATTAGCTGTTAACTTTGCCCTTTCCAAGGTAACTTTGCTGCCATCTAGTGGCCATGTGTGGTAAAATCATAACAGAAGGCACAACTCTAGAAGGCAAAAAGAACATCAAAAGTAACGGAGAAACTTATGAAACCAAACTAGTCACAGTTTGTTGGAGGACATGAAAAGTAATTTCACATTTGAATACAGTTGGGTATAGTGTTTTAAAGGCTCACTTTTCTGGTAGTGCTTGTTTCCATGGATGTGGTTATGCCTGAAAAGTTCCAAACTATGGCATTAAAACTTAACAATAACAAGCATTTGTTCAAGGTGCTTTAACGACTCAACATCTATACTGCAGGCTTTACATACTGTATACTTTCAGGAAAAGCAAAAACAACAGGAGGACCCTACATGAAAGTTATACAACAGGGGTGTCAAACTCAAATTCACCGAGGGCTAAAATTAAAAACTGGGACTAAGTCGTGGGCCAAAAATTTTATTTATTTTTTTATTTCAACATCTGCATGTTTTCTCTTCTTTCGAGATTTGTAATGTTAAACCTTTTTTTTTTATTATTAAAATGAATGTTTAATAATAGTTTTGCTTAAGCATTGAATCTAGAACAAGCATAATATAAAATAATAACAAAATTTTAAATAAGCTTTTAAATCTGTAGCTGGCGGGTCAGCTGTTCTAATACATCTTTGCTATGATCTCACAGGCCAAATATAATTATATCACGGACCAAATTTGGCCCTCGGGCCTGAGTCTGACATGTCTGTTATATAGGGTGCTTTTAAAATATAGAATAAATATAAATTATGATTTCAAATAATAATTCTAGTTTAATTTTTACACCTTTTTGCCTGCATTTTAGTAGAATATATATATTTTTAGTCTGGGTCATTTTTCACTAACACATAGTCCAGCGATGCGTAGGATATGACTTGTCTCTCAGACCATATATACTTTAACCCCTCCTCTCCTGTGACCCCATTATGTTTGGGTTGTACATTTGGTGAGCCCCCAGCCCTGCGTATGATGTCAACAGTACTTAACTTTTGTCACGTCAGCCTGATCCCACTCTTTGACCCTAGGAGGCGCTGACAGGTCGTTTTTTACAGTGACTAATGCTCCAATCATCCCTTCTTAGCATCTGGACTCATAGAAAAAAGCACTGCACAGGTTATTAGAGCATTTTAAAAGACACAACAGCATTTCAATGAAAGGAAAACCTACTGCCATGATGTACTTGTTGCGCGTTCATTTGTTTGCGTAAAGCTCGGGGGTTAACGATGCACTTGACCTTGATGGCAGGAAAACAGTTGTCGGATAAGGAGCCTCGCACACAGTGTAAACACACAGGAGGAGATAAACGGGGCAGGAGGGCGGCCCACCTGGTACTCATGTCAACTGGACTGCGTAATATAAGCACAAAGACAATGCGTAATAGGCGTTTTAAGATTTAACGTGTTTTATTTTACAAATTTATAAAAAATGTCTCCTGTGCTCCAATCCAGTACTGTTGCTTTAATATTGTACTTGTAATATTGTGTTATAATTGGCTAAGAGTAAAGTACAAGACAAAGACACGTTGTTAATTTTAATTGTGAGTTTTAAACAATAATTGCATTAAAAATATATTTGTTATTACAATCTAGAATAGTTTGGGGACTGCAAAAATATCATCCAAACTTTTCTTTTTTTTTTAATCTATTTATTTTATTTGTCAAGAATCTCCTGCATTTTAATTATTGTTTTGCCAATAATAATGAGCCTATTACAGTAAGTGTGTGAGCCTCATCTGTCACATACCAGACTGAGTTCAAAAACAGGCACAGTGAGTTTATTTTTTCGGCACAGTTCGTACACAAAGTAATTCAAAGTGCTTTACAGAATAAGAAAGACATTAAAATCAGCACACAAACAAATCAAAACACAAATAATCATCATAAAATAGGACATTAAAACAGAAGTGTGCAGGGTAAAGCTTTCGGTTGTATACACGGTTAAACAAAACC